GGACCAAGGAGCCTGGTGGGCTACAGTCCATGGGGTCGCAAAGAGTTGGACATGACTGAGCGACTTCATTTCACTTACCAAGTCTTAACATATGACAACTTATATCTGCAGTAGTCTATTTTAAATTGAAAACACTGAAGTTTAATTCCATTGTGAAGCTCAGTGTTATTGCTCCCTCCCCTCCACATTTTATATTATTGATGTCACATTTTACATCTTTTTATCTTGTGTATCACTTAACTAATTATTGTAATCATAGTTATTTTTACTACTTTTTTCTTTTGACCATCATACTAGTTTATAAATGACTAAACCTTTACCTTTACTATGTGTTTATATTTCCAGTGAGACTTGTTCATTTATGTGTTCTTGTTACTAATTAGTACCCTTTCTTTTCAGCTGAAAAAAGTCCGTTTAGCAAATTTCTTCTAGGATCCATTTAGTGGTAATAAGCACCTTTTGCTTTTGCTTGTCTGGAAAACTGTTTTATCTCTCTCATTTCTGAGTGATAACTTTGCCAGGTACAGTATTATTGGTTAGAAGTTTTTTTCTCTCAGCACTTTGAATATATCATGCCACTCCCTTTGGCTTGCAAAGTTTCTCCTGAAAAATCTGCTTATAGTCTTATGGGAGGTTCTCTTGTACAACAACAGGTTGTTTTTCTCTTGATGCTTTTAATGTTCTCTCCTTGTCTTTAACTTTTGACATTTTAATTATAAAGTGTCTTGATGTGGGTATCTTAGGGTTCCTTTCATTTGGAACTCTGGGCTTCTTGGATCTGCATGTCTGTTTTTTCCCGTAGGTTAAGGAAAATTCAGCTATTATCTCCTCAAATAAGATTTCTGCTCCTTTCTGTCTCTCTTTTCCTTCTGGGGGCCCTATGTTGTGAATTTTAGTCTGTTTGATGTTGTCTCATATACCCCTTAAACTATCTCCACTGTTTTCCATTCTTTTTTCTTTTTGCTGCTGTGGTTGGTTGAGTTCCACTGCCTTGTCTTAGAGTTGACTGAACTCTTTGTTCTACTTCATCCAGTCTGCTGTTGAACCCCTCTAGTGTATTTTTCAGTTCAGTTATTATATTCTTCAGGTCTGTGACTTCTGTTTGGTATTTTCCTATATTTTTTAAATCTCTGATGAAATTCTCACAGTTCATCTATTCAATTTGGTGAGCATCTTTATGATTATTACTCTTTATCAGATTAGTTACTTATCTCTCTTTCATTAAGTGTTTTTGTTTTCCTGAGGTTTTATCTTGTTCTTTTATTTGGAACATAGTCCTCTGTTTCTTCATTTTGCTTGTCTCTCTAGTGTTGGTTCCTATACCGTAGATGAACAACCAGTCAGTTTGGAAGGCGTGGCCCTGTGTAAGAGATGAACTTTGTGATTCAGTCCTGCCTCAGCTTTTGGTTATCTTTTAAACATCTGTCCTTGTCCAGGTAGCCTGTTACATTTTTAATACCCACCAGTAGTTGTGGATGTGCTATGACTTATCATTGTCCCAAAGGGTAGAATCTCAGCACCTGGATGCAGGTTTCCTGGAAGACAAATCCTCAGACACGAGCTTTTAAAAGTATGCAGATACGTAGAGGCTTATGAAACTGAAAGTGTTAGCTCTGCTGGCCACCAGAACCAGGTGATCTGGAGCTCTCCCCTGAGCAGCAGTGTCAGAAACTGGGACTCCAGATGAGGGAAAAGCTCTTCTCTGGGTGATTCCAGTGAGCTGGAGCAGGGCAGAGGGAGAGTGCCAAGATGGCATCCAAAGCCTGTGTTCCTCTGTAGGCCACCAAATGTGGATCAAACCTGAAGGGTGCTCCTTAGGGTGAAGCTCCAGAACAAGTAAAGAGGCTGCCTTGGGTGTGCCCATTACCTACTAATGAAGAAAATGACCTTACTTTCAAACGGGCTTCCCTGTTCGCTCAGTGGTAAAGAACCTGCCTGCTAGGGCAGGAGACATGAATTCAGTCCTTGGGTCAGGAAGATCTGGAGAAGGGAATGGCAGCCCACTCCAGTGTTCTTGCCTAGAAGATCCCGTGGACAGAGGAGTCTGACAGGCTGCAGTCCATGGGGTAGCAAATGAATTAGACACAACTTAGCAACTAAACAGTAACAGCAACAACTTTCCAATAGTTGAACAAGAAAAATCATGTTTTATAGTTTCTTCTAAAACTAGGAATTAATAAAAAATGATGTATTAATTTGATTGTAACGTGATTCTACTCCATTTTTGTACTCTACGTATGGAATACTGTACAAGACAACTAACCAGAGTCAGAATCTCAGACTTTGTCTTACTGTCACTTTGTGTTATTTTCCATATTCTTTTAGCCCCTGTTATCTGTAAAGTGGAATTTAGGCCTTTAAGGTTTATTAGGTTAAAGGTATTTCACAGGTGATGCTGTTTAATTCATTTTCTATCACATCAGGAAGCATGTAATGTCAATATTAATGCCAATATTAGTGACCCCCAAATTTCTTCTGTGAAAAGAAATGATTTTTCTTTTGATGCTTTGACACCATGTGAATATCCTATTTTTCATAAACGTTTCATCTAGGATTTTGCCATACAATGATGATCCTTGCTGAATCAGTTTCATAATGTATTTCTCAGCTTTGATGCCTTTCTCCCAATTCCATTGACAGTCTCTGTCACTTAGAGAATGAGTAGAGTCCATCAATGTGGTGGGCAAGAAAATGAGTTGAGGATCTCAGTTACAGGAAACAGATAATGGTATCTAATTTTATGTCACTTTTTTGAAGTTGAATTTTCAGTTCTTTGGAAGGAAAATACTGATTAGGAGCTGAGAGACATAATTAGCAAATTATGTCTGATAAATGACTTCTTGGTAGTGATTGGAAAATTTTTTTACTTGTAATCAGGTTATGTCAAATAAATTAGTGTACGTTAAGATTTCAGTTTAGTTCAGTTCAGTCACTCAGTTGTGTCCAACTCTTTGCGACCCCACGAACCACAGCACACCAGGCTTCCCTGTCCATCACCAACTCCTGGAGTTTACCGAAACTCATGTCCATTGAATCAGTGATGCCATCCAACCATCTCATCCTCTGTCGTCCCCTTCTCCTATCTTCAATCTTTCCCAACATCAGGGTCTTTTCAAGTGAGTCAGCTCTTCGCATCAGGTGGCCAAAATACTGGAGTTTCAGCTTTAACATCAGTCCTTCCAATGAACACCCAGAATGGATTTCCCTTAGGATGGATCTCCTTGCAGTCTAAGGGACTCTCAAGAGTCTTCTCCAGCACCACAGTTCAAAAGCATCAATTCTTCTGTGCTCAGCCCTCTTTATAGTCCAACTCTCACATCCATATATGACCACTGGAAAAACCATAGCCTTGACTAGACGGATCTTTGTTGACAAGTAATGTTTCTGCTTTTTAATATGCTGTCTAGGTTGGTCATAACTTTCCTTCCAAGGAGTAAGTCTTTTAATTTCATGGCTGCAGTCACCATCTGCAGTGATTTTGGAGCCCAAAAAGTAAAGTCAGCCACTGTTTCCACTGTTTCCCCATCTATTTGCCATGAAGTGATGGGATCGGATGCCATGATCTTAGTTTTCTGAATGTTGGGTTTTAAGCCAACCTTTTCACTCTCCTCTTTCACTTTCATCGAGAGGCTCTTTAGTTTTTCTTTACTTTCTGCCATAAGGGTAGTGTCATCTGCATATCTGAGGTTATTGATATTTCTCCCAGCAATCTTGATTCCAGCTTGTGCTTCTTCCAGCCCAGCATTTCTCATGATGTACTCTGCATATAAGTTAAATAATGTTAGATGTTAGATTTAACAAGGCACTAAAAAATACCACCCCCCTGTCCCTGCCCAGAACACTTAGTTAATTCAAGAGTGACTTAACAGTTACGTTCTAAACACATTAATTACTTGTCCTCTGTCCATGGCAGTTCTCCAGGCCAGAATACTGGAGTGAGTAGCCATTCCCTTCTCCAGGGGATCTTCTCAACCCAGGGATCGAACCCAGGTCTCCTGCATTGCAGGCGGGTCCTTCACCAGCTGAGCCACAAGGGAAGCGTTGTTTTAGAAGGACTATCAAATTGATGAAAGTGACATAAAATATCCTATGCCAAAATGAGTTTTAAAAACTTAAGGTGGAAATTTTTGTTCAAATGTAACAGAAGTAATTGTTCTTTAGAATACCTGTATATTTCATATATGATGCTTTCTTAGGTGCAGTGAACAGACTGTGGCATAAATAATGAGACATTTGTCATCTAGCATGAGGGATCCCAAAGGCTTGTCTAATTCAGTAGCCTGACTATGTTAGTATTATGGGTCATTTTCTCTCTGATTCTTTTTTCTATCATAGCCACATATGGTTGTCCTAGGTCTAAACATTATGTTCTTACACTGCAAAATCCAAAAGCTGGAAGGAAGAGCAAGGCCTTCTTCATAAAACTCTCTCCCCCTGCCCCCTCCCCCAGATGGAAAATCTTTCCTGCAACCCTCAGCAGACTTTCCTATATGTCCTATTAGCATAGTCAATCTGAAATCAGTTGCTGACAAGAGGAAATGAGGCTCTCGTTATTCCCTTAATACAGTGTCCGTTCGCCCCCTAGATCGGGATAAGGGACCCGCCCATCTGAGCCTGTTGGTGGTTTGTCATCACTGAGGGGGGGAGGCTGATGGGTAGACAATCAGTAGTATATGCCAGATATAGTGATATAGTTATGTTGTAGTATTTTCCATATCCCATAGAAGAAATATTCCCATTCAGATACTATTTTAATATTTTAATGTTTAAAAGAGAGACATGTAACCTGAAAAGCATATTTTCCTATATGTGCTGGTTTGTGGTTGGTATAGCAAGGCAATGTTTTGGCTGTAATTTAATATATTAGTCACTTACTGTTCTTATTTTTGTCTTGTGTACAGTCACTTTATTCCCCTCTGAGATTAAGCTCCTCAGTGATGTTACATAATTTTAGCAGTAGTTTCAAATTCTTTATATGTAATTGGTACTTGTTCTCGTAGGTGGCTTCTCCACTGTTTTCCTGGTGCGGACGCATGGTGGACACCGTTATGCATTGAAGCGAATGTATGTCAATAACACGACAGACCTCAACATTTGTAAAAGGGAAATTACAATTATGGTAAGTGAAAGAGTAATTCCATTTGAAAAACTTGTATCAGCATAACATTAACCAGCTTTTAGGCAAGCTGCTTATGCACATCCTGACAACCTTTGAAGTGTACTCTTTAAAGCCACACTTAGGGCTAAATACAGCCAACTCCTACCTCTCCTCCCTTGCTTATAGTAGTTCAACAGGCAGGCTTCTCTGCTTTCTTTTTTTCTATTTAAAATACATTTTAATTATGGAATGTTCTTAGAATAGAAAAATTGAGAGGACTAGTGAATGCCACTTCATCCCCTACTCAACTTAAGTATTGAAAGCTTACAGATACAGATGAAGCCTTCTGTGTATTCCTCTCCAATGTCATCTTTATACTGTTATCCCAATCCAGAAAGAAGCCCTTATCCTGAATTTGGCGCTTACCATCGCCGTGGGTATTTAATAAAAGTATGTGTTTGTGTTCACAGGCAAAACTTAGTTTTGCTTTTCATTTAAAAAATCATGCTGTAGAATTGATTTTTTTGCGTAGGTGTGTGCTCTAGTTATATGGTAAGGTATGCTTCAGTAAGGAAAAAATTTCTTCTAGGAAAAGTGAAAAATACTTTACTAAGCCATTAAAGAAAATTTCAGTAATTCAGTTAACTAGACTAACCAGTTCAAGAAAACTACAGAATAAGTTTCCTTTTTGTCTCGAGTTGCTTACTGTCGGTGCTCTGGGTAGTTTCTCACTCTTGTTGCCCCCTGCTCCTCCTCCTCTCTCCTGTTCTCCTCTTCCTCCTCCTCATCCATTCTTTATCAAGCCTAATATGTATATTTAATGTTTCTGGTTTATTGTGGCAAAATTCACACAATATAGTTTTTATAATTCACATTTTAAAGTGAACAATTCAGTGGTATTGAATGCATTCACGGTGTTGTGTACAGACTGCCCCTATTGTTCCAAAGCATTTCATCCCTCCAGAAGGAAATGCCTGCCATGAAGCAGTTACTCCCCATCCCACTCTTGTTCAGGGCCTGGCAACTACCCAGTCTGTGTTATGTCTCTGTGGATTTGTGTCTTCTGGATATTTTATATCCATGGAAGCATGCAGTATGTGACCTTTTGTGTCTGACTTCTTTTCACTTAATATATTTTTAAGATTAAAAATCTTATCAGTACTTGATTCCTTTTTATGGCTGAATAATATTCCATTATATATGCTGTGCACATATATCAAAATTTGTTTATTCATCTATTGATGGACTTTTAAAAAACATTGTGATGGTCATTTGGGCTGTTTCTACTTCTTGGCTATTGTGAGTGAGTGTTGCTATTTATATGTGTATATATATATTTGTTTGAGTGTTTATTTTCAGTTCATTTGCTATATATCTAAGAGTGGAATTGCTGGGTCATACAATAATTCCATGTTTAACTTTGTAAGGAACCATTAAACTGTTTTCCACAGCAGTTGAACCATTTTATATTCACACTATCAGTGTAGGAAGGTTCTAGTTTTTTCACTTCCTTGTAAATGCTTGTTATTGTCAGTCCTCCCCAACTGCTAAAAGGGAGATTTTCTTATTTTATATCACCATCTCTATCAACACACATGTGGTTTGATCCTTTTTGTTTTAAGACAGGCGCATTTATACAATATGGCTTACCTGAATTGTGCTTTTATTGTCCCTATCCCTCAGCTCGACTAGAGTTGATTAGACTTTGAGACTTGCTTTTTTTCCAGGTGAGGCTGTTAGTCAAAGGGGGAGAAGATTTACTCCGAGATAATAGGAAACCTTAGACAGTTTTCTAACTTGAGCCCAGACACGTTACTATTATATTGTAGTAGTTCCTTCAGTAGAATTTGTTTACGTTTGAGATATAAAATGTAGTCATCATCAATCTCAGTTAACACTCAGATCTTACGCTTTGAAAGAAGATGGTTTGGTGAGATGAGTTGTCTTCCAACTGTTTTTTGATGACTAGTCCTCCATTATTTATGTTTATTTGTGAGTTATTCACATGTTCAACTGCCATTAGCTAACGTCTCAAATTATATTGCATAGTTAAAACCAGGTTTTTCCTCTAATGATAGTGGATGTAACTTACTTTAAAGACAAAATTAATTTAGATCATTATTGTTTTTAACCTTATTATATATTGATGAAGTACTATATTTAATCTATAGTTTCTTTATAGGAATCCTATTTAGCTACTTGTTTATTTTTTAGGTTATTTAGTTGAAAGTACATACATTCATAAATTCTTTTTTTTTATTATTTATTTATTTATTTATTTTTTTTTATCACAACCATAGTGTATCTTTTTTTTTTTTTTTTTACATGTATTCCCTATCCCGGTCCCCCCTCCCACCTCCCTCTCCACCCAATCCCTCTGGGTCTTCCCAGTGCACCAGGCACGAGCACTTGTCTCATGCACCCAACCTGGGCTGGTGAACTGTTTCACCCTAGATAATATACGTGTTTCAATGCTGTTCTCTTGAAACATCCCACCCTCGCCTTCTCCCAGAGTCCACAAGTCTGTTCTATACATAGGAGTCTCTTTTTCTGTTTTGCACATAGGGTTATCGTTACCATCTTTCTAAATTCCATATATATGTGTTAGTATACTGTAATGGTCTTTATCTTTCTGGCTTACTTCGCTCTGTATAATGGGCTCCAGTTTCATCCATCTCATTAGAACTGATTCAAATGAATTCTTTTTAATGGCTGAGTAATATTCCATGGTGTATATGTACCACAGCTTCCTCATCCATTCGTCTGCTGATGGGCATCTAGGTTGCTTCCATGTCCTGGCTATTATAAACAGTGCTGCGATGAACATTGGGGTGCACGTGTCTCTTTCAGATCTGGTTTCCTCGGTGTGTATGCCCAGAAGTGGGATTGCTGGGTCATATGGCAGTTCTATTTCCAGCTTTTTAAGAAATCTCCACACTGTTTTCCATAGTGGCTGTACTAATTTGCATTCCCACCAACAGTGTAAGAGGGTTCCCTTTTCTCCACACCCTCTCCAGCATTTATTGCTTGTAGACTTTTGGATAGCAGCCATCCTGACTGGTGTGTAATGGTACCTCATTGTGGTTTTTAACTAGGTGGATATAAATTGCAGTCTGTTGCAGAGAAAACAGACAAATGAGAGTATAGCTGTTAGTTTAGGAACTAAAAATTCATATTTTAAAATACAAATTTAAAATACCATATAAAATCTGGTATTTTATTCTTGCGTCCCACAGTGCTATCTTGTGTATTCACTTTTGAAGAGTATTGTTTTGAATGAACAAAAATGATGTCTTTCTTCTCCATTGAATTTAAAAATGAGTATTCATTAACTTTCTGTCTGTTACAAAATGGCAGTCATATGTAACTAAACTTTTCATTGAAACTGTAGAAATTTTTTTAAACATGTCAGATTCCATACTTAAATCTTACTTTTTGAAATTCTTTAAATATATTAGTTTAAACTTCAAATCATTAACAATAGATGTTTAAAATACATGTTTTCCAGTTTTAAAAATTTTTTTTATTTTTTGCAGAAAGAGCTATCTGGTCACAAAAATATCGTGGGTTATTTGGACTGTGCTGTAAATTCGATTAGTGATAATGTATGGGAAGTGCTTATCTTAATGGAATATTGTCGAGGTAAGTATTTCTCTGCATTTGTTTTATGCCAAAGGAATTTGCTCATAAAATGGGTTATTAGGTGTCTTGGTTTCTCCCTGAGCAGCTGTTATCTAATTGTGGACACTCATTGCACCTCAGCTTTAATTATTTGTCTAATTAAGGAATGCTGTTGAAAAGTAATTTATAATATTGTTGCATTGGTGATATGAGCACATGTAAATGGACAATTAGAAAAATGCCTTTGGGTTTAAGATAGGGAATCTAAGCAATCACATTTCCTGATCCCTGTATGTTTCTTTTATGGTCTAACCAAGAAGAATATGCTGTGTCCATATTAGTATTATAGGATTTTTCCAGAATGCTACTGTGTTATCCTTGAGCATATTGAATGTAATAAATTTAAAGGATACATTTTGATGTATAATTCTTATAAATTTATGTGGTCTTTTGTAAACATCAGAAGATAGAAAACCACTTTTTATTTGGATTTAATGTGGTATTTTCAAAGAAATATTTCAAAGAAAAAATTAGAAATTGTAGAGTATGCTTATGAATTGTAATCAAAGTGTTGACTTTTTTTTTTGAACTTTAACATGTGTGAAGGGGTCAACTAGTCAATTTCCTGCAAACTGCCTTCTTCCCCCGATGCACACGTGCCTCCCCTCCCACCTCCCCGAATGTAACTGGCAGTTTGGGTTCTAGGGAGACCTGTTTTATATTTAGATTCTCTTAAGACAGTTATGATTGTTAACTATCATACCAGGAACTCTGGTCAGTTCCTGAAGTTTGGAGAAGGAGGAGGATGGTGATGGTAATTGAAAAAATTTAGTCTTTATTTTACTCCAGTCTTGTAAGAAGGGAAAGACAGAGGAGATTGAAGTGAATCAGTATTATAATATCTATTGTGATATGTTTGTAACTTATTTACATATATAATAGAAACAATTAGATATTTTTGTGATTGTTCTTCCTTATTTTTATCTACTATACTGTAAAACATTATGATCCCTTGAAGGATAATACTGATTTTCCTTACTTTCCTAGCATTTAAGGTGCTAATTCTTAGCTCAGTTAGAGTTGACTAATAGCCCTTGACTGTTGATAACTTTTTAAAAATAATTGAATTGAGCATAATCATAACCCTGAATGAGTTTAATTAAAATTGTCATTCAGAAGACATTTTAAAAGGGGAACCAAACGAGCTTCGGTTTTTAAGGAAGTGAGTATTTGGGGGCCAGTGGTACAGTCTGTGGCAGATGAAATTTAATTATCTTATAAAAAATAAAGTCATATCAGTATTTAAATAAGATGGTAGGTTGCACTGTATATCATTTTAAATTAAATGGTAATGAGTGCAATCTCAGAGATATGAAGATTGTTGAGGCTAGAAAAATGGTGACTTTTAAAATTTTAATCCTGAAATAGGGCAGAGTATAGAAGTTTTGGTTTAGGGGTTGATACCTGTTTGAAAAATATGTAAAGATTTGGAAGTTACCCACATCTTACTTTAAAAGACCTTCAGGCTTAAGCAATATTTACTTTTTGGATATGATTTTAAAATTTTTCATTTAGAATAATTTTACTTTAATGTCTTGTTGTCACTCAGTTGTGTCTGGTATTTTGCGGTCCCATGGACTAAAGCACATCAGGCTTCCCTGCCCTTCTCCATCTCACAGAGTTTGCTCAAACTCATGACTGTTGAGTTGGTGATATCCAACCATCTCATCCTCTGTTGTCCCCTTCTCCTCCTGCCTTCAGTCTTTTGCAGCATCAGGGTCTTTTTCAGTGAGTCAGGTCTTCGCATTAGGTGGCCAAAGTATTGGAGCATCAGCTTCAGCATCAGTCCTTCCAATGAATATTCAGGGCTGATTTCCTTTAGGATTGACTGGTATGATCCCCTTGCTGTCCAGGGGACTCGAAAGAGTCTCCTCCAGCACCACAGTTCAAAGGTATCAATTCTTCAGGCTCAGCCTTTTTTATTGTCCAGCTCTCACATCTGTACATGACTACTGAAGAAACCATAGCCTTGACTTTTCAACATTTGTGGGCAAAGTAATGTCTCTGCTTTTTAATACGCTGTCTATTTAGAAGACTTTGGTTTTGAGTTTCTACATTAGTAAGTGCGGCTTAGATAGAGCTTTTAGCTTTTGCTGGGAACTTAGATTTTGTGATTCAAGGCTTCTAACCCAAAGATCTCTAAAGGGAAAAAATATTGACTAACTCTTCGTTTAAAATTTATTCTACTCATTAAAACATTGAAAGTTTGCAAGAGGTAGAATGAATTCAAAGTTATGATTTCTTTAGCTGTGAAATGATAGTTGAATAATAGTGAATGTTGTTGTTGAGTCACTAAGTTGTGTCTGACTCTTTGTGACCCCATGAACTGCAGCATGCCTGGTTTCCCTGTCCTTCACTATCTTCTGGAGTTTGCTCATGTTCATGTCCATTGAATTGGTGATGCAGTCTAACCATCTCATCCTCTGTCGCCCTCTTCTCCTCTTGCCCTCAATCTTTCCCAGCATCAGGGTCTTTTCCAATGAGTTGACTCTTCATATCAGGTGGCCAGAGTATTGGAACTTCAGCATCAATCCTTCCAATGAGTATTCAGAATTGATTTCCTTTAGGATTGACTGGTTTGATTTCCTTGCAGTCCAAGGGACTCTCAAGAGTGTGTGTGTGTGAGTTGCTCAGTCATGTTGACTCTGTGACCCCATTGACTGTAGCCAACCAGTCGCCTCTGTTCGTGGAATTCTTCCAGGCAAGAATACTGGAGTCTGTAGCCATTCTCTTCTCCAGGGGATCTTCCCGACTCAGGGATCAAACCCAGGTCTCCTGCATTGCGGGCAGATTTTTCTTCCCATCTGAGCCATCAGAGAAGCTTGAATAATATGAGTAAACACCAATAAACCATTTCTTTTACTGTTTAATTTTTGCATAAAATGAGTCAGGACATCTAACAAAGTATGGAGAAAATTGCTGCATTAGTCAGGTGCCTCAGTCTTATATGAGATACTTTGAACAAATTATAACCAAATAGACCTGAATTTTCTGAAAATTGAGGATTCATGGGCAAAATTAATGTTTTTTCCTCTGCTTTAAAGTTCTAAGGAAAAACTAGCTATTTCAGAATACATATGAGAATGCTGTTTAGACAGTAATAATAGAAGGAACAAGTGTGTATACACCTTCTTCAGTTCAGTCACTCAGTCGTGTCTGACTCTTGTGACCCCATGGACTTCAGCATACCAGGCTTCCCTGTCCATCATCAACTCATGTCCATTGAGTTGGTGATGCCATCCAACCATCTCATCCTGTGTCGTCCCCTTCTCCTCCTGCCTTCAATTTCCCAGCATCAGGGTCTTTTCCAGTGAGTCATTTCTTTGCACCACGTGGCCAAAGTGTTGGAGTTTCAGCTTCAGCATCAGTCAGTGAACATTCAGGACTGATTACCTTTGGGATTTGATCTCCTTGCAGTCCAAGGGACTCGAGAGTCTACTCTTACACACAACTCGAAAGCATCAATTCTTCGGCACTCGGCTTTCTTTATAGTCCAACTCTCACATCTATACATGACTACTGGAAAAACCATAGTTTTGTCTAGAGGAACCTTTGTTGGCAAAGTAATGTCGCTGCTTTTTAATATACTGTCTAGGTTTGTCATAGCTTTTCTTCCAAGGAGCGAGTGTCTTTTAAGTTCATGGCTGCAGTCACCATCTGCAGTGATTTTGGAGCCCCCTTCAAAATAAAGTCTGTCACTGTTTCTATTGTTTCCCCATCTATTTGCCATGAAGTGATGGGATCAGATGCCATGATCTTAGTTTTTTGAATGTTGAATTTTAAGTCAACTTTTTCACTCCTTTTTCACTTTCATCAAGAGGCTCTTTAGTTCTCCTTTGCTTCCTGCCATAAGGGTTGTGTCATCTGTGTATCTGAGGTTATTGATATTTCTCCCAGTAATCTTGATTGATTGCAGCTTGTGCTTCATCCAGCCCAGCATTTCGCATGATGTACACTCTGCATATAATTAAACAAGCAGGGTGACAATATATAGCCTTGATGTACTCCTTTCCCAATTTGGAACCAGGTGTTGTTCCATGCACCTTCTTACACATTACAAAATAACAGACATTCATTTATTCAAACTTGTTAAAGGAAAGTTTCAAACTTAAACACAAGCTTGCCTTTTTAAATTTCCAAACTTTATTTAGGTTAGAATGTTTTCTGAATGAATCATATATTTGTATTCTGAGAATATGATAGTAAACTTTCTCTTTAGTATAAGAATTGTCACCATTATGCTATCAGTTATTGTAGTCCACTCAATACTTATTTAATACCTCTCTCAGGGCTTGTTGGTGTGGCTGTTTGACTTTGGTAAGTTACTCTGCCCTGGTAAGTTATCTCTTAACCTGGTTTAGAACATTAGTCCCTTATACATCTCTTTGTCTCTCTTGTGATTCCTCCATCCCCCTGTTAAGAAGATCTTTTCAAAATCTGATCAGGAAGTTTCCTTGATTCTCAAGACAAAATCTTAAATTTCTCTCTCTCTCGTCAGTATCATCTTTATTTTACTCTCTTCTTGATGCTTTCTAGACCATACTCAAATTGGTTCTCTTTAAGTTATTCAAAATCATCAAACTGTTTCCCAAACTAGAGGCCTTTTTACATGTCACTTGCTGTCACTAGGGTGTTCTCCCAAATCTCTGCCAGGTTAATTTCTAGTTAACCTTCAGTTTAAACATAAATAATCACTTCCTTAGACAGGCCTTCTCTGCCAGTCTCTTCTTCCCATCCTTTACCAATTTAAATTTGGGTTTTTCTCATATTATCCTTGTTGTATGTAACTTTAATAAATATTTATGTGTGTGATTGTTTAGTAATTTATCTCTACCTTTAGGTATAAATTTTATGATAATAGATACTTTATTTTTGTTCACCACTGTTTACCCCCGTAATTAGCATAGTTGCTTCAAATTTGTGATGCCATCAGTTACAAGGTACATCTTGATTTTAGAATTGTTAAAATGCTAAATTGTTAAAATGTTAAAATCATCAGACATTCTCATATCAAAGATGTAAAATGTGAAAAAAAAATTATGTCATTGAATCAACAGAATATGGTATATAATAAACATTTTTACAGTAAAATAATGAGAAAGCTAGTTTTCCATTACCTGAGACCGTAAAGTCATTTCTTAATTTCTTTGTCTGTGGTAGTCTTCAGTTATTAAAAATGTCATCAATATTACTTTTTTTGGTTAGCTGGGCAGGTAGTGAATCAGATGAATAAGAAGCTGCAGACTGGCTTTACGGAAGCAGAAGTGTTACAGATATTCTGTGATACCTGTGAAGCCGTTGCAAGGTTGCATCAGTGTAAGACTCCGATAATTCACCGGGATCTCAAGGTAGGAACTTTAGACTCCTTATGGCTTACTACCTTTTAAACTTCGGAGTTAAAATGTCCTTGGACTGTCTTCATCTAAAGCCATTCTTGTTACCAGCACTCAGGCTGGTCTCTCTGTTCTCCGCTGCGTTCCCTGAGGCCGTGTAAAGACTGACTGTAGAAGTGAAACTCTGCTTTCCATGACCCTGACAGTTTCTCACATGGTTGTAGAAGTGGATTTTGTGCTCCCTGCTCTGCTTCTGTTGTACTGAGCAGGCTTCTTTAAAAGGTTTCATATGAACAGGAATATGAACGTCACTGATGCAGGTGGGATGTCTCTCCACACTGTCCTTCCAACACTCCTCCTGTTTCCTGTAATTCATTTTAAGCATCAGGGAATTTTCCAGCGATATTGGAGCTCACTGTAAATGGGTCTCTTTACTTATTTATTTATAATTTACTACAGTTTTAGGTAATTTCTTATAATTTGGTGGTGATTGTCACTTTAAGGTCACTTTGTCTTTCATATGTATGGAATCTGACTTTTTGTATATGGTACCCACCTGTTACACTGGAAAAAGTGCCCTAAGGGGATTGAAGATTCCTGAAATTACATTGCTTGAGCTATCACTACATTCTTTAGAAACATAGGTGTCTTCTTTGATACTTGGAAACACTAAGATTACAAAAATTCCTCTTCCTGAAATGTTCTATGCCCAGATATCCCAAGGTAAACCTTTCCCCCACTTCAAGTTCACTCAGATTCACTTTCCCAGAGTCCTATGCTTGTACCACCTTACTTATAATTACAACATAACCTTTCCATTTTCTACTTGTTCTACTGTTTATTATCATTTGTCAGTTTCTCAGATACTATGTAATTTGCTTATGTTTTAAGACTTGTTGTTTTATTTTCTGTCCTCTTCCATTGGAAGGTAAGCTCTCTGGGAGCAGGGATTTCTCTCTTTTGTTATGATGTATCCAAGCATTTAGTACAGTGCCTGGCACATAGCAGAGTCTCAGTAAATATTTACTAAATGAATGAATCCCAATTCTGGCTTATTATTGGGCTTCCCAGGTGGCACTAGTGATAAAGAACCTGCTGCCAATGCAGGAGACATAAGAGAGGCAGGTTTGATCCCTGGGTTGGGAAGATCCCCTGAAGAAGGGAATGGCAATCCACTCCAATATTCTTGCCTGTAGAATCCCCATGGACAGAGGAGCCTGGCAGGCTATAGTCCACAGGGTCGCAAAAAGTCAGATACAACTGAAGCGACTGAGCACTCAGCATAGACAACTTTGAAAAGTGACAATAAAATGCTCTCAAGATAGAATAGAATATGTTACTCAGAATATAGGTTGTTAACCATGAAAGCATCTTTTAGGGAAACTTATGCTAAAGAATACAAGCTAAGGTAAGATCACAGTGTTTGACTCCACATCTCTGTCTCTTAATTTGGATAATCAGTGTAGCATCTTTGATTTCAGTTCTTCTGGATATGCAGCTCTTTTACATTTTCCCTAATAATTTGGTTAGATGTTTTTGTGCTATTTTAGCTCATTAACTTTTTTAATGTAAAATTGATGTTTTCAGCGAAGTCTTCCTTGGTTTTCAAACAAAGACATTGAATTGCATACTTTTATATAGATCATATTGAATAGAATTAGTTGTTTTTACATGGAAATTTATTCAAACCTGCTTAAGTAGATATTTTTAAGTAGATTTCTTGTATAAATCTTTATTTTGTACAAGTATGTTTAAAAGTAAACTAAAATGAAATATAGAAGAAAAATTATAAAGAAACTAATGTGAGTATTTTGGTAGAGTGGAGAGAAATTTAATCGCTCATTCAAGGCTATATCAGAAAAATACTGTAAAAAAGTTAATAATAATAGTGTCATTTATTGTATGCTTACCTTATTTCTGTTGTGTTCTAAGCTTTTTACATGTTTTAATACATTCAGCTTTTACAGTTTCTACAACAGTCTCATGTAACAGAGGTCATTTCCCACAGTTTATAGGTGAGGAAACTGCAGCATAGAGGGGTTATGCAAACTGTCCAGAGTACATGTGATAATAAGTGGCACAGTTGGCCTGTGAACCCACACTCTCCTGTGTTAGAAACTGTGCATAACTTTAAGTTATTTCGACTCCGATCTCTAAGTTCAGACACAAAGTTAGATCTGTTTTTCAGTGTAGTATTCTAGATAAAAATGGAATTAGGAGTTAATCAGAGGTAGACTTGGAATGGTTTTTGTTTTTTCTGTAGAAAAACTGAAGTGTCAGAAAAGGAGGAAAATGGAGGGAGGGTATAGACTCACTGCTGTTAGCAGTTCTCTTGTATAGAAGCGTTATAGAGAGGACTTACAGTTACCTGAGGGCTTCCCAGGTGGCTCAGTGGTAAAGAATCCACCTGCTAATTCAGGAGATAAGGGTTTGATCCCTGAGTTGGAAAGATCCCCAGGAGAAGGAAATGGCAACCCGCTCCAGTAGTCTTGCCTGGGAAATCCCATGAACAGTGGAGCCCGGCAGGCTATAGTCCATAGGGTCACATACAGTCGGATACAACTTAGTGACTCAACATGTTACAACAAAAAGGGTGACTTGGCTCTTGCAAAACTCATCCTGGGATTGAAGAAGCACTCCTCTGTTCTTAGTGAGAGAAGCAGTAGATAAAGTAACATGTATTTTTGTTCTGAATCATTTGCCCTTTCTCACAGTTTGAGGTGCCTTCTCTCTATATATACTTGTGTATGTGTGTGTGTGTGTATAAAACAAGTCCTTTGGTGTTTATTGTGTAAAAACGTTGTAAAAAGACAATTTTCACTTTGAAACTACTACTAATTATTGATTTTCTTTTCTGAAGGTAGAAAATATTTTGTTGAATGATGGTGGAAACTATGTTCTTTGTGACTTTGGCAGTGCCACAAATAAATTTCTTAATCCTCAAAAAGATGGAGTTAATACAGTAGAAGAAGAAATTAAAAAGTAAGTGTTAATTTTGTTTTGTCTCATGAGAATTTTAGTGAACTTGAGTCTGTGACCAACTCTGCTAGTTTAAACTTTAGATATTCCATTAATAGATCTCTTTAAGATATTTCTGTGTGATATAATTGATTAGTTTATGTCTCATCTAGTTCAATAGGAAATACATTTTACCACGTAAGCAAAATTTTCATCTACATTGTAAACAAATTAATCAAATTTAACAAATTTGTTAAATAAGCTGTAGTAATTAGTGGAATCATTAAAGGGAGTTTGAAGTTATTATTGAGTTCAATTAAACATCTTTGTGTTTATTGATACTGAGTGAGGATTTGTGTTTGTTAGGAAAAATATTTAAACTTTGGCCTCGTATTTACTATTAAGAAGTTGCTATTATTGCATTGAAAACTGTGTGGAAAACTTGTTACTTTATAATACTGTTTTGGAGAACTCTGTGGTAGAAATATAAATCATATCTGCCTTATGTTTTCTTAACCTTGTATTTTCCATGGTTGCTAGAGTATTGTAAGGACTTTCCCCTGGCTTTTCTGTTTTCTAGTTTTAGAAAATAGTACTGTTTGTAAATCTTTGATCATCTTAATAAAATGATGCAGAATGCAGAAAGATCTGTCAGAATAGGAATTTCTAAGTAGCTTCTTTTTTCTAAGTTACTTTTCTTCACTTCCTCACAGATTCTCAGTGGTTTAAGGCTGCCTACGAGCTTTTGTTTGAACTGTGACATGTATTTTGAAATAGGCTCAAATAGAGCTGATCTTACTCTGGTCCATTTGTATAAAACTATGGTTTTGTAGACTTGTGTATTTCTACTCAGGAACAGCCTGTGATGGTTGTGTTAAGATTCCATAAAAACAAACTCCTTAGTAAACTTATAAACATCCTGAAGAACACCAGAACAGTGAATTACTGAATTGGCTTCTTATGGGTATATGTATATACATATAATTTTAAAAGTTACTGGGTTGTGATATATAATGACTGTTACAGAATTCTGCTCAAGCATCTTTGGCTTGCTGGATTAGTTTAGTTTTTTGCTGTTAAGATCTGAAGTATAGCTAAAGTTTAGCAGAATTTTACACTAGTGGTGAACGTAATAAGCTCATGAGTTCTTGTACTTAGTGGCTCATAGGAATTAATGGTCTAATTATTTATTCAGTTAACAGGGCGTACAACATATTGGACACTGTTGTTGATGCTACGGTATAGCAGTGAACAAAAAAAAAAGGCCTGTCCTTAAGTAGTTTACATTCTGGTTTCTTAGATCACTCCTCTGTAGTAGTATCCTTCAGAATGTATCACGTTAGGGTGATTTGAAAAAAATAAGATGGTAGAATATTGAGTTTTTAAGATACTTCATGTAAAATAAAAAAAACACTTAAAGTGAATCTTAAATTATGCCATAGTATAGGAATTCCTTTGATATTCTAATAATTTCTCCCATGAAATTGAGCAATACTTTATTCTGTTCATAGTGGATTTGGAGTTTTTATACTTGTAAATATTTATTCACCGTATCTTTTAATTCCAAACTACTTAGGCTAACAGTTTTGGAAGTGTACTTAATGTAATTAATAATAATTAATTATGACAACTAGATTACTTTTAAAAGAATAATTATAAAAACAAACCTCAAGATTTACTACCATGTGTAAGAAATTATGTTAGGATTCATAAAAACAAACTGCTTAATAAACATATAAATTAATTTTTTGAGAGGGTAGAAGTTTTACTTTTAAATTAGTAGACTAAAATATTTTGATAAGGATATTTTTATAGTCAAATTGTCTTATTTCATTTAAGAAATTCAAGGAAAACCATGTTTCTAGTACATTGTCTTTATTTAATTTTTTTCTCTTAAAAATTGTGTTTTATTATCAAAGATGCAGTTGCACTTGTTGAAAACGTGTATAATGCTTTGTATTGTTTAATACTTGATGGGCTTTTAATGAGCTTTTAAAATAGTATTATTTCTCTATAATGTTATTGAACCTAGAAGTTTTTGTAGTGTTTTATGTAGAAACAATGTAGTATGTCTTTTTTTTTATATCTCCACTCCATTTTACTTATTTACTGCCAGGTATACAACTCTGTCATACAGAGCCCCTGAAATGATCAACCTTTATGGAGGGAAGCCTATCACCACCAAGGCTGATATCTGGGTAAGGCCAAGAAAGGCTGACATTTTCACTAACCAAATTAACAAAATCTGAGTTCAGTTGATTATCTTCCCCCTGTCCTCCACAAGGTTATTTCCTAATAAGTAGAAGAGAGTGGTGGACAGTAAAGCTTACTAATAGCAGAAGAAAAATATTAGCACATATCTTCTTGATCTGGAGATGGAAAACTTAGGTATAAAAAAGCAAGTAAACAGTTTCCACATAATGTAACTTTTTATCGCAGCATTTTTTAGAATTTAGATTATATATGACGGTTAAAATTTTTTTGATTTGAATGCAGTTTTGGAAAAGCTGGCCATAACTCTTAACTGGTTATGCTTATAATTTTCTTAAGTATTTTAGGATCTTTTTAGTGGAAACTAACACGAGTAAAATTTTTAAAAAATTATAAACATACCGTCGACTAACCTCTGTATATTGAGGTTCTTTAGCATCTATATAGATTGAATTATTGAGGTATAACATGTTTCTATGGCTTCCCTTGTGGCTCAGATGGTAAAGAATCTGCGTACAGTGCAGAAGACTCAGGTATGATCCCTGGGTCAGGAAGCTCCCCTGGAGAAGGAAATGGCAACCCACTCCAGTATTCTGGCCTGGAGAATTCCATGGACAGGGGAACCTGCGGGGCTACGGTCCGGGGGGTCTCAAAGAATTGGACACAACTGAGTAACTAACACACACAACATGTTTCTATAGAGTTGAACTTTATCTTAGAGAGTCAATATATCTTTTGAGGTTATTTCATAAGTAAAATGTGTTTTGTCTATATTTAGTAAACTAGCAGGAAATTATTTTAAATGTGAATTCATTTAAATTTAACGAGCATTCAGCCATATCTGCCACCAGTGGCCATATTAGGAACTGAGGAAAAACATTCAGAAGTATTTCTAGACTTTACAAGAAAAGTCATTTGATTTCATTTTAAAGCATAATATTTAGAAAGCAGTCAAGCGTAATGGGTGAAACCAAATGAATATCTTCTTGGTGCTCCTTTCCTGACGGAATTCTTTTATAGAGATTGGGAAATATTCTTGCAAGGTAATAAAAAAAGAGTATCTACAATATTTTTCCCTCTGTCTACATATTATGCACTTTTTCATCAGTGGTTCTTAAATCTTGTGGTAGTTGAATTTTTAACTGTATATGTAATTTAATGAAACCACAGATAGGTTTGATTCAGTCAATTTGCTCCTGCTTACAGATTCCCAGCTTGTATAACTCAAATTCAGTTGGCTCTTCTCAGCATTGACATTTGATTCATTAAATGGCTTATAGTAAATAGCTTGTAGTATAATGTAGAAAACAAATTCAATTGAATCTTAATTTATAAAATGAATCTTAATTTATAAAATGAAGGTGTTAATTAGAGGAGGTGATTGTGGAAGTCTTTTCCTGGCCTAATTTTGTGACTAGTGTTGAAACCCACATTACCTAAAAGAGTATATCAACAGTGGAGTCAACAGCAGATTCATACGTTGACTACTGTTTTGAAATCATCAAGGGTTGATTTAAAAAAAGTCTTTTAAGAACATGTTTGCTACCCAATGTCTTAACAAAAAGGAGGGAGTCTTTCTCTGTTGTTTGTTTTTCACCAAGCTTAAAATTTGTGCCAGGATGGCTAAATTGTCAGCGAAAGGTGGCTCAGTGGTAAAGAGTACATCTGCTAATGCAGGAGACATGAGTTTGATCCCTGGGTCAGGGAAGCTGCCCTGGAGAAGGAAATGGCAACCCACTCCAGTATTCTTGCCTGGAGATCCCATAGACAGAGGACCCTAGAGGGCTGCAATCCATGGGGTCACAAAAGAGTAGGACATAATTTAGCAACTAAACAGCAACAAGTTTAAAATGTATTCCATTTACAGGTTAGTTATATGGAGTAGCATTTCTATAATGGGTAACTGGATATAGCTGTGGGATGACAAATAGATACTCAAAGAAAAAAAAGAAGCCAGAAAAATTATCAGAAAACAGAATGTATTTATATGCTTGACAGAGATAGAGTTTTAATTTCCTTGATACCATTTTTATGCTTGTCATAGCTCAGATGAAATGCCTACAACATTTTAGGTGTGAATTTGAGAGTATCCAGAAAAGGAAATCAGTTCATATCAGTTAAGAGCTATATTTTGATCTTATTTCAGAAAAGTATTTAGAGAGTTATGATAATTGAGGTTAAAGTTTTCATTTAGCATATGTATTTTGGAGAAATTTATTTTTTACTTTGAAATTTCTATTGTAGCTTATTTTTATCCTGAGAACTAGGATGCTGATTTTATTGACCAATAGGAAGTTCAGTGAGAGATGCTTCATGTTACCTTTTAATGGGGAAAATGGAAGATGGTGATACTCAACCCTCAGAATGAGGTCATTCATTCCCTCCTGTTTCCTGAACAGTTCTCATTGTATCAAATGGAAAAAGAGGGAAATGCCTTTGGTGTGAGAAAAATTAGGACACTTCCTTGTGTTCACACTCTGTGAAGCAGAGTATTTTAGATTAATGTTTTTGAAGTACACTGGCATTGCTATCTAAAATTGTTACCTGGGAACTCCTACAACATATACTCTAACAAAAGACACATTACTGAAGGTTTGAGTGACAAGATAAAACTGGCTAAAAGGCAGATCTCCTTTGCTTCACTGTCATCTGGGCAGAGGAAAGGTATAATTTAATGCAGGCATTACACCATTAATAGTCATTTTTTTAGTGCTGTTAAGGAAGCCTTATGCTCAGTTTGCAGTATAGAAGCTGAAAATATCTTCCTTAGAGAAAAATGCATCATAAATTTTTTAAAGCCACATTGAACTCGTTACTTCCATTCAGAATCTTTGTAGTTTTGTTAGTCACATAGTGAATAATCTAGTAATGTTCTTGAACTAATATATTGAAATTTCTAGAGTCTCTAAACTTTTTTCATTAAAGGACTGTTGTAATATTGAACATAATGTTTTGTAAATTAATACTGTCGAACTCAGAAAGGTATTTCTGTATTTTGTGACCTTCGTAGCAGTTATAAAACTAGTGTATTTGTTAATTGGCTTGCCAGGTTGCTGTGTGATGAAAAAGCCAACAAAGGACAGCTGATGTGCTAATGTTTAGATAGGCCAGATTTCAGTTATTGCTGATGTAATTGTATAGTAACCACTGGATAATTTTATGTAATCAATTTAGAGTTAGAATTGTCCCTTACACTCATAACGCTTTGTAGGCGACACTTCTTGTGGCAGCATAATGATTTCTTGAGCAGAAAATCACATTTTATTACCACGTCTCAGATTTGAGCTGTTGGCACTTTAGCTGAAAGTTTCCTGTGCTACTTTTCCAGACACAATTTGTGTCTTAGGGTGGTTTGTGTTCATTGTCAGAAAGTAGATTTATTGGCACTGTGATGTCTGTGAATCCATACAAGCAAAGCAGACAGAGCCCTTTCTTTCTGAATTTTATATAGATTACTCAGGTACAAATATGACTAGTATAATATAGAATGAAAAATGTAGGATTATGTTTAGAAGTAGAGAACTAATTTTTATACTATGAAATAATGACATGTGCTCAGTGAATAATCAGTGTTGATGGGTGTCTGATAAACTTAACTGTGCTGGCTAACTCCTATTTGAAACTTGGAGTATTAAAATGTGTTTTATAGTGAATTTTTAAAATATTCTGCTACAAGGAGCTTTGTGCGTGCTTTGTTGGTTGTTACATGCTAGCTGTGTACTAAATATATATTTTCTTTGTGAAAGAAATGAAAATGTAATTTTTCTCCCAGTCACTTCTAATTTTAGTTCTGTCATTCATGATCTAGTGTTCTATGAGAGCATTAATTCATCCATCTAGCCACACGAATTAATTTAAGTTGTAATTTGTGAAAAGATTGAGCCAGTATAGAAACATTAGGCTTTTGTTTTCTTAATAACATATTTAGTTTTTCATTTGTGGCTTTTTTTTTTTTGCTCTTGTGAACAAGTTGATACTTGAGTTCTGATGATATTCATGCTTCTTTGTTTTCCAGGCCCTGGGATGTTTACTGTATAAACTTTGTTTCTTCACTCTTCCTTTTGGTGAGAGCCAGGTTGCCATCTGTGACGGCAGCTTCACCATCCCAGACAACTCTCGTTACTCCCATAACATACATTGTTTAATAAGTAAGTACTTGGACAATTTATGAAAAGAATTGTACTATATGAAGGGCCTGCTATTTCCGTTCCTTTACCTAAAACTAGTCTTTTAATTTCATGTTATTATAATTTTGTGAAACTGCTATAGTCAAGAAATATATTTAAAAGGATGTTCAGGGCCTTCCCTGGTGGTTCAGTGGTTGAGACTTTGCCTTCCAGTGCAGGGGGTGCTGGTTTGACCTCTGGTTGGGGAGCTAGGAGTCCACATACCTCACCGCCATAAAACCAAAACATAAAAACACAGAAGCAATATTGTAACAGATTCAATAAAGACTTTAAAATTTATCTACATCAAAAAAATCTTTAAAAAAAGATGTTTATAAGACTTTTGTAGGAATGAAAATAGACTAATTACTGATTAGTACATGGATGTTTTTTAAGCTCTAGATAAGCTTTTATAGAACATAGAGATTATGTAATTAAGGAAACTGGAATTTCTGGAAAAACTTTCCAGCATAACATTTCATTATTCAGTCTTTGTACTTTTGAAATCAAAATAACCTGATCTGTTTCTTCTTTAGATCAAACTATTTCCAACTTAAAATTGTAGTTTATTTGCCACATTTTTTACTGTTTATTCCTTGTTGATTATAAAATCAGAAAGCAACCTAAGTGTAATATCAGAAGGAGTAATCTTGTGGACCTTTCATTCCAAAAGAATGCCTCAGTTTTTCTTACAGTCTCTTTTAAGAGTTTTTTCTTCCTTTTTGACAGATCCTGTAACTTAATTTCTTGAATATGCACATGGTATAATTTCTGCAAAAGATGATTTGTTACACATTTGGTGATTGACTAACTTTTGTAATTTATGAGGCTCATGTAACTCAAAAAAACCCCAAAACACAGAGCAAAAAAAACAATCAAAATGGAGCATAAAAGGATATATGTTGCTTCACTTGGCAAACTTATTTAAAGCATAATCTTTGTTTCTTTAAAGAAATCCACATTTCTTTAATGTGGATTTGCCCATACATGTTGGAAATTAGAGGATTATGTCAGCTGAACACAAAAATTACACTACTTCACATAGAGTGTTTTTGCTAGGTGAGGGGAACCAAAGTAATGGCGTGGGGGAGGCAGTGTTATAACTTCCAGGGGAAAGGAAATAGCCCTAAGCTTGGCTGCTTCACTGCCTGCATGAACTTTCAGCTCTAATTAGAGAATATTAAACATGAGTGCTTGTACCTGGGGTTTCCTTCCCAGAGAGGTCTACCTCTCGGCTTTTGTGTGCCTCTCTGCTAATGGATGGCCTCCTGAATAGCATCCTTTATGGCTCAGAACTGCACTTTTATCTTTATTGGTGGATAACCTCCTAGTCTTGTTTTGATATGTTTTTCTGTCCTTCTGGCAGCTTTCAGCCAAATAAGCTACCTGCCTGGGCAGTCCAAGTTACCTTTTCAGATACCAGTTAATGTTTTTCTTAGTGTTCTGGTGACTGAGCTGTATAGGTTTTCAGTGGTTTGTCCCATCTCTCTTTTCTCCATTAGCCTTGTTATTTTTAGCTTGCCATTTTGCAGAATGTGTATTTTTTTTTTCAAAGAGCAAGCATACTTTTTGAGTATATATGAAGAAACATCAGACCATCAGCCACTCTGTTTTAACCAGTTGCTTTCTTCCTTCATTGCAAAATTTGGGACATCAGAAGCATGAAAGAACTCTGATTAATTGGAACGCTCAAAAAATAGATTGAGGAATTTTCTTTGGCTGTTGAGTGTTCTAGCCAATTGAAATTTAACCTTTCTTTGAAGCTTTTGTTATAAATCACCATATCAGCGGCATGGTTTTGTTGTTAAGTATAATGTTTTTTAATCACAATTGGACTAAGGATTTTATTGAGGATCTTGCAGTGTCTGCTGATTGCCAAAGGTGGGAGATGGGCGAAAGAGATGAAGGTGGTCAAAAGGTATAAACTTTGAGTTATAAAGTAAGTCCTGAGGATGTAATATACAGCGTGTGACTATAGTTAAAAATATTGTACTGTGTACTGTATATTTCAAAGTTGCTAAGACAGTAGATCTTAAAGAGTTCTCATCCCAAGGGAAAACAATGTTTAATTCTGTGAGGTGATAGATATTTACTATACTACTGTGGTCACCCATTTCATAATACATATATACATAAAATCATTATGTTACTCACGTAATGAACTTCTCTGTCTGACCTGGGCTTTCCTGGTAGCTCAGCTGGTAGAGAATCTGCCCGCAATGCAGGAGACTCCGGTTCGATTCCTGGGTCAGGAAAATCCTCTGGGTAAGGGATAGGCTACCCACTTCCCTGGTGGCTCAGTCAGTAGAGAATCCGCCTACAATGTGGGAGACCTGGGTTCAATCCCTGGGTTGGGAAGATTCCCCTGGAGGAGGGCATGACAACCCACTCCAGTATTCTTGCCTGGAGAATCCCATGGACAGAGCAGCCTGGCGGGCTACAGTCCACGGGGTTGCAAAGAGTCAGACACGACTGAGCGACTAAGCACAGCACAGCACTGTCTGACTTACTTAATTAGCATATATGCTACCCTCATGTTTATTCATGCTGCAAATGGCAAGATTTCTTTCTCTTTTTTAATGACTGAATAATATTCCATTGGTATATATACATACATACACACAAACACCTCTCCCATTTTCTATATCCATTGACCCATTGATGGACACTTAAGTTGCTTTCATGTCTTGGCTATTGTAAATAATGCTGCAGTGAACTTGGGGGTGCAGATATTTTTTTGAGTTAGTGTTTTGTTTCTTTCAGATACATACTCAAAAGTAGGATTGATGGGATTATATGATAACTCTTTTTTCAACTTTTTGACATACCTCTATACTGTTTTCCATAGTGGCTGCACCAATTTACATTCCCACCAACATTGCACAAGGGTTTCCTTTTTTTCACATTCTACCAACAGCTGTTGGGCTTCCCAGGTGGCTTAGTGATAAAGAATCTACCTGTCAATGCAAGAAGACACAGGAGATGCAAGTTCTATCCCTGGGTCAGGAAGATCCCTTGGAGGAGAAAATGGCAACCTACTCCAGTATTCTTGCCTGGGAAATCCCATGGACAGAGGAGCCTGTAGGCTACAGTCCGTGGTGTCACAGAGAGTCGGACATGACTGAGCGACTAATACACACATACATGTATACTTTTTAAAAGTTGATTTTATATTTGCAATAGAAGCAGAGTTAATGGGAGTGGTCCTGTGGTGGCTCACATGGTCATTTTAAGTTGGGTAAACAGGGATGTATTCTAGCTTTTTTGTCTTTTCTAAAAAACTTTAGTGACTTGATTCACTTTTAGATCAGTTAGACGTGTGTGTTCATTAATCCAGCAGTCCCCAGCCTTTTTGTTATCAGGGACGGTTTCCCTAGCGGCTCAGACAGTAACGAATCCACCTGCCAAACGGGGGACCTGAGTTCAGTCCCTGGGTCAGGAAGATCCCCTGGAGAAGGAAGTGGCAACTTACTCCAGTATTTTTGCCTGGACAGTCCCATGGACAGAGGAGCCTGGTGGGCTATAGTCCATGGGATTGCAAAAGAGTTGGACACAACGTAGCGAGCAACAACAACAGACAAACTAAACAGCCTCCAGAAAATGTATTCCCACATGAAAACGTGAGCTAGTGGAGTTAAGAGGTTCTTTTGTTTGCTTGTAAGATGATGTCAATCCACCGACAGCCTGGTTACTTAATCATTAGGCGATGTGCCTTGCTTAACTTGAGAGAGAGAGTTACCTATACAGATATTGGTTAGAAAACATAAAAGCTCAAATTTATTTATTTCTCTTCAATGATTCTCATGTACTGTGAAAGAAAAAAAAAATACAGGGTTGCCCAAAGGATTGCCATTCCTCTCTAGATACTCAAAATACCTTTCCCAAGGTTATGCCATGCCAGGAAAGTGTATTTTCGTATCCTCACTGTTCTGTACTCCTGTAGAATTTCTTCTCCTGAACTGTATTTTGTTGTTATGTCACTGGTCTGCCCGAAGGTTGGTATAAGACCTGACTGTGTGTCACTCATTGTAGTTTCTTAGGAATATTGTTCACTCAGTGTGAACCATCTTTAGAAAGACTCAAAGGAGAATTTACTCTTAGCTTTCAATATTAGAAATGGTGCTTTTTCTTAGCACCTGGTTTGTTTTTAAGAATATTGCAATTATATAATGGATCATGTTGCCCTATTTGTGTTGACAGCTAGAAAGCTAAATTTTTCCAGTGTTGGCCCTGCATTTGTAGAACCAAACATATGTAATTTATTTACTGACAACATTATCCCTCTTTTTTTTTCTTCCTTTTAGCCATTACTTTTTCATTAGTCTTAATTTTCTCATATATTAAAAAAGAATTACAGTTTTGTATGCCACTACAAGTCCTCTATAGGAAAAAGTATTTATAATTAGCTACTATTGAAATAAGATTTTAAAGGCCAAATAAACTGAATTGTTAGGATAGAAAAGTTTTAAGTTTATGAATTTTATAAGTTTCTTGTGATTTGTTTCACTTTTACAAATTACATGAATAAGCATTTATAAAAGTTGGTATAGATGTATTCCCATATCATGTACTATTGTTGCTTCTAAAACAGTGTATTGCTATCAAGATAAAATATGATTTTGGAGGATAAAATAAACCTTGTAGATTTTTCAGATGTTTTCTGGAGTGAGGTTGAATATCAACTAATAAATATTAGAATTAAATGTTCTGAGCTATTTCATTCTAACAGATGATAAAATAATAAAATATCAATTTTGTAAGTGGTATATGTTAGCCTTTTTAAGTGTATAAAACCAAGTGACGTGCAGAATATGATAAAACTGAGTTCAGAATCTCTCAAATAACTTGTTTGTGCTTAGTGGCACTTGCCATCCAACCATGTTTTTAACCAAGTTAACTTATCACGCTGTCAGCGATGTATTACACATTATTTGTTCAAATATTACCTGTGATTGAAAGGAGGATTTAATTTTGATTTGTAATATTACTTAGGATTGAAAGGAGGATTTAATTTTGATTTGTAATATTAAGGTAGTTATTTATATACTTTTATCTCAACATAATTTTGTTAGCAAATTTCAGAATATTGTCTAATTAATGCTGTAAACTTTACATTGCAAATAGGTTTAAAAATGATTTGAACATGATAAGAATTTAATCAATGAAGCAGAGTTAGAACATGAAGAATGCCATAACAAAATATGGTTTTTTTCATGTATAGGATGGAGTATAAATGTCGGCCTTCTTGTGAAATTGTAATTTAGCAAGTAGTTCAAGAAATGTAGTGGCCATTTTGGTTAGAAAAAAGGTCAGGCCTTTCAAGCAGTGCTGTAGGATTGGTGTGAAAACTGTTCATAATAGAACCATAAGACTATGCTTGTACTTCTAAACATGTTGTGGAGAGCGTATTGAAATACAGAACTGTGATGAATACTGCTGTCGTCCGTGTGGGAGGAAAATGGGTTTTAAGAAAACTACAGTGCCGACCGTGTACTACTTCCCTGTACCACTCTGTTAAGTAGACTGTAATGCATACAGGTTAGTCTTCTCTTCATGATTCAGAAGCCCCTAAAAATTGATATATCTAAAAATATTAACAGATATGTAAAAGTTATTTTAGATAGTAGTGAAAATAAGGACCCCAACTGTAGCCCAGAAATTTTCTTGAATAATTCCCCAGTGTTGACTAAACTCACTTTTTGTTTTGTGTCAGAGTCTCAGAAGAATATTCATATTTGTAATTCATGCTTTCAGTACCGATCTGTCTTAGGACTCATTTATCTTTAGCTTGGGATAATGTATAAAATAACAATTTTTGTATTTTCTATAAACATTCCCAAAGTTTACCGGAAGCATCACTAACCTTAGAATAGAAGTATATATCTTTTTAATGTGCCTCTAATTGCTTCTGTGTTCAGAAACTTCTTAACATTTTGATTTATTCTTGTAGGGTTCATGCTTGAACCAGATCCAGAGCGGAGACCCGATATATTTCAAGTGTCATATTTTGCGTTTAAATTTGCCAAAAAGGATTGTCCAGTCTCCAACATCAATGTAAGTAGTTTTTGTATTATAAGTAAGTAGGATACGAACTTAAAATCCATTTCATCATGTGTGGGTATATATACTTTCAAAGTCACTTGTTTCATGACAAGTGATGTAATGGTATATTTGTAATTAGTATTTTTGATGCAAAGATGCAGATACAAAGTATATGTGCTGGGGTGCTGTGGGGAGCTACGGTGGATTTGATGGCACTGCAGGACACTTTACATCATTGAGGAGATCCAGTGACATCTCTGAAATAGCATAGACTATTATTAAGTTGACTATTGAAAAAGCAGGACTGTTAGATTTTTTAGGAGTATAGTTGAGCTGGGGGTGTCATGAAAAATGGCTGAGATACTCAGCATTCTGTAAACTGAGAAAGTTTGGTTGCCCTTGGTGTACAGAGCATAGGCATTATAAATGGAGAGAAGTGGGTTCAGTTCCACAGAACTGGAAAAGGTCAGTTTTCATTCCAATCCCAAAGAAAGGCAATGCCGAGGAATGTTCAAAACTTCCACACAATTCCACTCATCTGACACGTTAGCAAAGTAATGCTCAAACTTCTCCAAGCCAGGCTTCAATAGTACATGAACCGTGATCTTCCAGATGTTCAAGCTGGATTTAGTAAAAGCAAAGGAACCAGAGATCAAATTGCCAATATCTGTTGGATCACAGAAAAAGCAAGAGAGTTCCAGAAAAACATCTACTTCGGCTTTATTGACTACACCAAAGCCTTTGACTGTGTGGATCACAACAAACTGTGAAAAAATTCTCAAAGACTTGGGAATACCAGACCACCTTACCTGCCTCCTGAGAAATCTGTACGCAGGTCAAGAAGCAACAGTTAGAACTGGACATGGAACAACAGACTGGTTCCAAATTGAAAAGGAGTACATTGAGGCTGTATATTGTCTCCCTGCTTATTTAACTTCTATGCAGAGTACATCATGTGAAATGCTGGCTGGATGAAGCACAAGCTGGAATCAAGATTGCTGGGAGAAATATCAGTAACCTCAAATATGCAGATGACACCACCCTTTTGGCAGAGAGCAAAGAGGAACTGAAGAGCCTCTTGATGAAAGTGAAAGAGGAGAGTGAAAAAGCTGACTTAAAACTCAACATTTAGAAGACTAAGATCATGGTATCTGGTCCCATCACTTCATGGCAAACAGATGGGGAAACAATGGAAACAGTGAGAGACTATTTTCATGGGCTCCAAAGTCACTGCAAATGGTGATTGCAGCCATGAAATTAAAAGATGCTTACTCCTTGGAAGAAAAGCTATGACCAAGCTACACAGCATATTAAAAATCAGAGACATTATGTTGCCAACAAAGGTCCGAATAATCAAGGCTATGGTTTTTCCAGTAGTCATGTATGGTTTTGAGAGTTGAACCATAAAGAAAACCAAGTGCTGAAGAGTTGATGCTTTTGAACTGTGGTGTTGGAGAAGACTCTTGAGAGTCCCTTGGACTGCATGATCAAGCCAGTCCATCCTAAAGGAAATCAGTCCTGACTACTCATTGGAAGGGACTGATGCTGAAACTCCAATGCTCTGGCCACCTGATGTGAAGAACTGATTCATTGGAAAAGACCTTGATGCTGGGCAAGATTGAAGGCAGGAGGAGAAGGAGATGGCAGAGGATGAGATGGTTGGATGGCATCACCAACTTGATGGACAGGAGTTTGAGCAAGTTCCGGGAGCTGCAGTCCATGGGATCACCGCGAGGCAGACACAGCTGAGGGACTGAGCTGAACTGGCCTCGGTTGTCTGTATCAGTGACTGGTTTTGTATATTTTGGGAGGTTGCTCAGCATTTGTTACTGTTTCTGTAAAACAAGGATGGTAACTACAAGGGTTAGAAATAATAACTGTAAAACCCAGTGTGTAGTTCAGGGAAGATGTATTACAGCTGATGCCATTAAAAGGCTTTGAATGTATCTGTTGTCTGCACCCTGTACTTCACTATCTCAGATTAACAGTACATGGCAAGTCGGCTAACTTTAATAAAGGTCTAGAATCAAACACTGATTTTTAAGCTTTTTCAACTTGAGTGGCCTTACTTTTTCTTATAGGTTTCCTCTGTGTATAACTTACTCCACTCCACTAAGAAAAAAGAAGGGATTTGGTGCCTTTCCTTTTCATTTTTTGAAATTCTTGTTATGTCAGTGTAATATATTCTTGGTTGAAGCCGAAAGTCATTGCTCACATTCTAGTAATGAATTTTATTTGACATTTGCCTGGATTTTTAGCTTTTCACTCTGCAAACATTTATTGAGTACTTACTGTGACATTTTTTTGAGTAATTATTGTAAACTGAACACTGGAGAGCAGAAGCAAATGAGTGCAGCCTCTGTTCTTGTTTGCTGGACTTGACAAGCAGTGTCATGAAAATTACCTTCAGCCTGTAAAACAACACTTTGTTCATGTACTTGGTGTTTGCTTCTTTTTCCAGTGTGTGAAATAGTTGTCATGTGATCCTTTATACCCCAGATTTACCCATTTGTAAAGTGGTTATAATATATATATATATTATATAATCTAATATTGTTCTATTTTCCAAGGGTTTCTCTGAAACACAAATAAGAAAGTGACACTTGAGTGTAACACATAGTGATATTTGCGGATTAGATTGGGCAAATATGTGTCAACAACTTGTAGGTATCTACAAAGTGAAGAGGTGAAGAAATAGTTTCTCACAGACAGTGCTGTTAAAGTTTAAGAACATATTTGTAGTGTTTCAATAAAACTTTCTGCCATTGAAATGAAAACTAAAATGAAATGTTTTCTTTTTTTCTTCCAAGAATTCTCCTATTCCTTCAACTCTTCCTGAACCGATGACTGCTAGTGAAGCAGCTTCTAGGAAAAGCCAAATAAAAGCCAGGTAAGCAAAGCTATGCTGAAATTTGAAAAGGCATTTATTAAAAATAAAAGATGGGGGGGAACAGTACTCATTTTTAATCCTAGCAGATGTTGATTAAATAGCATCTTCACCCACAAAAAGTACTGTATTCCTTACTGCATGTAGCATGACATTGAGACAGCAAGTTCAAAATAAGCTTTTTTGTATGAGATAACAGGGTTTGACAGTAGTCACACTTGAACTGCTCCCTCTCCGCCTTCATGAAGTGATTGTGTAACTGGTGATGTTACATTGGGTCATCTTATAGGTGGGACTTGTCATTATTTCATCACATGACAACAAATTTATGAAATACTATGTTTTATTTTATTGTTAATAATGACCTTTTATTGATTTATGAAAAGAAGAGCTGTATGTAATTTACAATGAATAGTTACAATGGCAACATTTTTAAGACCATTAGAGGAATATTTGTTGTTATTCAGTCTCTCAGTTGTATCTGACTCTTTGAGACCCATGGAATATTATAGTATTTCAAATAATTTTATAGTAATTCACTACGTTAATGTTTGATACAGATTATGTAGGTTAAGGCCTAAATCTGAGTAATGGTTGAGTTAATGATAACTTTTTCTCCTCATTTTTTTTTTTTTTTGAGTTTAAAAGTGAGTAGACAGGACTGTATTTTAGATTATCAGGTATAGTTTTATATTTGGGGAGATTTCTTGATCACAGCTGTTTTTTGTATTGTATTTCACTTATGCAAAGTGTTTTGACATGGAATACGTAAAACCATCTGTCACACACTTGTTATATGCAGGATATAGATATGGAGGACCCAAAGAAAAAGAAGCAGTGTATTTCTAAGGAGTTCCCATTCAAGTGAAGATACACCAGTGAGCAGTTACAGCTTGCAGGTGATGAGGCTGTGAGCGTGGAGGAAGAGAGGACAGGAGCTCAGGGAGAATCCTTTCCCTGGGGCGGGCGTTGCTGAACTCTTTCTTAAAGGATGAGTAGTCTAGTCACTTGGAGTGATGGGTGGGAAGCTATGACAGGCAGACCTTTCAGGTGAGAACAGCCTTTGTGAGCTGCAAGACTGGAGCATGATAAGGGCACATCTACAGGAGGTTGGGAAATGAAGCTGAGGAGGCAGGTGAATGTCAGTCACAGCAACTTTACTCTGTGTCATGCTGAGAAATTTGGATTTTGGCCTTTAGGCAGGTGAATTTTCAACCTTGTAATCAGTTTGGTTGTGAGATGTGTTAGAAACAATCTGCTATTTGTAAATTGTTGAAATATCAATTGGGAATGACTTAATTTCTAAAAACAGCATCACTCTAAAACTGTTACCTTCATTCATTTGAATTTAAAACACTCTTGAGTAAGAGACAAAGGAGTAAAGTTACATCTAACTTGCAGGGATCCAGCATGACTGACTGTCTTGCTCATGATATAGCTGGAATTAACAGCTGCTGTTATAGTTGAATGGTCATTATGAATTACTGTCAGACTTGTCAGCTAGTTTTATTGTTACTTGTCTTTTAAAATAATTATTTTGTCAATGATTAAATCTTTAAGTAAAGTATAAGTTTTTTAAAAAGCATGAGTCAATTGAAAAATAATGCTTTGAATGTCTTTTCACCATGACACAAGCTACACTTACAAACAAATGAAATAGTTAACAAAAATTCACAGTGCTATTCATAGTATGTTAAACTATATATTATGTATATTAAATAATAGAGTTCATTGATCCTTTACTGGTCAATAATATAAATTTACTTTTTACTGATAGTATTAGTAAAGAACTTGAAAAATTATAAATGGTAAAGTAAAAAATTAATCTTATTTTTCCATGTGAAAGGCATATTTCCAATGGTGGGAGGAAGGGGAGTCTTTAAATAGCTAATATCATTATTTACATGTTTTAAAACTATGAATATTATCTGCCTACCCTACCTTCAATCTGTGAACTTTTTGTTTTACTTCTTAAAAGTTCCCTTCCACCCCCCCAAAATTTGCATCTGCTCTTGGGACTGTTAAACATGTGAAACTTATGTGATTTGTATCTTCAAGATGGCAGGGTTGAGAATTGTTGCCCTGGCAGGTGGAAACACTGAAGGATTTTAAGAGAAGAGAGAGTTTATATTTTAGGAAGACTGTTCAGGTTAGCAGGAAAGAAAAGAAAGCAAAACAAAAAAAATCAGCTCTGTGTTGGCTACAGTAGTGCGAATGAGGTTTTTTTTATAGCAGTGTTGATACCAGTAATTACTCAGTTTTTCATTTCAGTTAAATTTGTATTTTCACTTTGCCTAATTCATCCAGACATTTTCTCCCCATTTTTTCACAGGCTGCTTAATGTCTTTTACTGTCTGATGAAGTCATATTTATTTTTGTACCTCCAGTTCTCACCTGAGCCTTCTCTAGCCAAGTTAGGTTAAAGGTAGAGTAACTCCTCTGTCAAACTTTTGACATTACTAGTGTTAGTGCTAATTATTTTTTCTGTGTTTTATTTTCATGAACATGTGCCATATCTTTCTAGGTAGACTGTAAATTCTTTGAAGACTGGGCACTGTCATGTTTGCAGGGTATCAGTAAAGTAATTGTACAGTAGATATTGGTGCATTAGGGAAATAAATTAGGCAATGCTAGACTAAACAATTGAGCCACCAGGGAAGTCGGCACAGCTTTTCGATGTGGTTTTTAGAGGTTTGCTGTGCTTGTGTGTGTGGTGAATCCTCTGTGGAGTGATTTATAATAAAAGAAGAACAAGGCAGGATGAGGCTTTGCCTGTACTACCCACTGAATAAAGAATGGTTAGATAAATGGAAAGACTGTATATAATGTTTCCCCCAGATTACTTGAGTTTAGAGAGTATAGCATGGGCTTTAGTGCCATATCCATAATTTGGACTCAATAAATACTTGTTTAGATTAAATGAGATAATTGGCTATATGTACATATGATCTTTTATTGCCTTAAATTTAGTTCAGTTTTCATTGTATCCTCCGCATTCCATCTAAAACATAAATATTATTTTCAGAAAACTGCCCGTATGCAATGTATTTCTATGATTTTCCAGTCTTTCTATTCAATTTCACTTCCTTTCTTTGTGAGAAGATAGTTGTTGACAGGGCTCCCTCTTGTGGTGTCTACAGATAGAGGAGAGAACAATAAATCTGTGCAGTAGACAGATCTATAGATCTGTTATGGTAGACAGGACTTTCTCTACATGCCGCAGATGTCTACTTGATGAATCATACATACGCAAAAATTTTAAGTGTCAGGTCATTTGAAAATGTGCTAAGGGAACTTGGTAAAGAGATTTCATTGCAGTCCTTTTGAAAAGTGAACTTATACCTATTAAAAAGTATGAGTTTTTGTATTGAATTTATGAAAAGCAGATTTGATAACTATGTAAGTTAAACATTTTTTGTGCCTTTTTTTGAAAGAGAAGTGTCTTCTCAGATTATATTTAGTGCCTCTTGATTTCCATTTGACCACTCACATCTGTGACCTAAACTAGATCCTAGTGTGAAAACTTATATAATTTCCATTCAGTGTTTTAAGTCAAGCAAATATAAAGATTCAAGAAGTTGAAGGTGAGCCGGTAGCTCTACCTGTTAAACGTTTTCATTTCTTTTGTTTTATGTGCCCTAAGACATGTTCTTTCTTCTTAGGCCGAGTGCAAGCTAAGGAAGACTGTTATTTATTGTTTATTTTTATGTTTCTGACTGGTTTAGAAAGTTGGCTCTCACTTTTGTCTAAAACCTTACTGAGAAGGCTTCTGTGTGTTTATTTTATCTCCTTAAGAGCAATCCTGTACTCTTTTTCTGCCGGCTTCAGTACTATGTGTGGAAGCAATCTGGTTTGAGGAAGTTGGTTCATTTTATTTCATTTACTTCCTTATCTTTATTAACATTTGATACTTGATAATGAGACTTAGGAAGAAGCCAAGAGAACTAACATGATCATCAATAATAATAAATATGCATCTGCTGAAATAGATGCTTCATAAATTAGAAATAATCCCAGTATTTGGAATGATATGTCTTCTTCTGTTGTAGAATAACAGACACCATTGGACCAACAGAAACCTCAATTGCACCAAGGCAAAGACCAAAGGCCAATTCTACTACTGCCACTCCCAGTGTACTGACCATTCAGAGTTCAGCAACACCTGTTAAAGTCCCTGTTCCTGGTGAATTCGGTAATCACAGACCAAAAGGTAATACAGCCCTGCCACCTTCGTCCCCTTTATAGTTGATTTACATAAACCTTTTATGGCTTGGTTACTGAGCAGTGTAAATTATTGGCAGACTTATTGTGAAGCAGGTATATTACACAGTACTTTAAGAAACATACAGCTCCTAATGTGTAATAAACTCAGCTAATTATTTTCCTAATGTTCTCAGCAAAGATAAGTTACTGGCATATAAAAGTATGGTATAAAAACCTCACAACTTGCCCATCCCTAGAGTCATCTTTCAACTAGTAGGGTTCGGAGTTGATACTAAAGTTCAAGAGTATAGAAAATTCTGTATTGTATTGGAAAGGAAGAATTTGAAACTCTAGCCTTACAAAGCATTTGTGTGAAATTGTTTTCAACTAGTATGTTTTAAATTAGAATACTCTTAAAGGACTTCCCAGAAAAGAATCAGCTTGCCGATGCAGACGTGGATTCAATCCCTGGGTTGGGAAGATCTGCTGGAGTAGGAGATGGAACCCACTGTAGTATCCTTGCCTGGAAAAGTCCATGGACAGAGGAGCCTGAAAGGCTATAGTCCATGGGGTTGCCGAGTCCAGCATGACAAAACAACTGAGCAGTCACACACAATGGTTAAAAACCCACATGTTGAGTCTCATGAACCTGAATTTCAGTCCTGTATCTTCTGTTTTTTTAATAAGTGAAGTGAAGTTGCTCAGTCGCATCTGACTCTTTGCAGCCCCATGGACTGTAGCCTACCAGGCTCCTCCGTCCATGGGATTTTTCAGGCAACTGTACTGAAGTGGGTTGCCATTTCCTTCTCCAAGGGATCTTCCCGACCCAGGGATCGAACCCAGGTCTCCCACATTGCAGGCAGATGCTTTACCCTCTAAGCCAGCAGGGAAGCCCCATATGTATTATGAAAATTTAGGATTGTTGTGAGGATTAAATGACTGCTTACTGTAATGCCTGCCACATAATATGCCCTTCAGAAATGTTCACTCTTAACTATTATTACTACTATTAAGTAAAATACATGCTCAAGAAGACAGTATATTATCTGATGTAACATATGCCTGTGGTGATCAGGCATACCCGATGGAGGAATTCTATGGAAAAGGGAAAATAGGGAAATATGAAGTCTTTATGTCTAATTCCCATTTTACCATCTCTTAGCCTCACTGTTCTCTTCTGTAAAATGGGAGAACAGCTATTCTGTTTTAAAGAGTAAATAACAAGGTGTATTGTATCTTGAAAAATTCTGTTTCGTGGTAAGCATTCAACATTAATTTCCCTTTTTATACCTTTCTGGGGTGAGGATGCTCTTACTCTTCCCTATCATATATTTCAGCCCTTCAGCCAGAGACCACTAGGAACACACTTACATTTGAATAAATTTGGTTTATTACTCAGATACCCTGGAAATCTGTGGGAGTATCTCAGTAAGAAGGTGTCTGAAAAGACTTATGAAAGGGTTTGGGCTTGTTTTTGGTAATTTGGGGGAGGTAGGGGTATAATATCATTATGTAGAAGGAGAGATGGAGAAGTCTCATTTGGAAATGAAGCAACATTCAGTCATATTGGCCAGGATTGAGAGAAGTTTGGTCATTTTTGTGGCTTGGACAATGTTCCTGATTTTGCCAGTGTTGAGACATGATTATGGAGTGGGCTTGCTGTGATCCATCACTGCCACAGGATGGCCTTGTCTGATGCTGGTGTTCTGTAAAACTGTTCACATTTATCAGGAGACTCCTCCGTGCCATGACAGGGGCAGCGCTGCTGCTTCTTACATGCTTCCAGTTTAAGTTGGGGAAAAAAACAGCCTTCCCGCCCCCATATGTATACATCTCTTAAGATTTCTTTTCCCATTAAATCTTATATAAAAGTAACACATGAATAAAATTAAAAAAAATATTCATACAAAGCAGTAATATTCAGAAAACTGTAGATATTTCCATTCTTTTTCTTCTAGAGTAGACTGGCAACAGTTTGGTGTACCTCCTCTCAGTCCTTCTTATGTTTTTGCATGTATAAACACAGATATAAATAATCATGTTGGGTTAAACACAAATGCATTCATACTAGATACAGTTGTCTACAGCTTGATTTTTCTTAATATGCTTTGGGGGGGGTGGCTCCCAGGTGGCTCAGTGGTAAAGAATCTACCTGCCAATACAGGAGACATGGGTTTGATTCCAGTATTGGGAAGATCCCCTGGAGAAGGAAATGGCAACCTGCTCCAGTATTCTTGCCTGGGAAATCCCATGGATAGAGGATCCTGGCCAACTACAGTCTGTGGGGTCGCAGAAGAGTAGTACATGACTTAGAGATTCAGTAACAACAACAATAAACTTTGGAGAGCTATGCATTAATCTGTATGCATTGTGCATAGAGCATCCTTGTATTTTTATAAACACTTTCAAGAATAATTTAAAAGGAATATGCATTTTCTTATAATTGTAAGAGATGTTGCTCAGTCATGTCCGACTCTTTGTGACCCCATGGACACACCAGTCTTCCCTATCCTTTACCATCTCCCAGAGTTTGCTCAAATTCGTGTTCACTGAGTCGGTGATGCCATCCAACTATCTTTTCCTCTGTCGTCCCCTTCTCCTGCCTTCAGTCTTTCCTAGCATCAGGGTCTTTTCTAATGAGTCGGCTCTTTGCATCAGGTGGCAAAACGTGCATACAGATTCCTTGTATTTTGTAAACATTTTCAAGAATAATTAAAAGAAATGCATTTTCTTATAATTGGAAGAGTTAGAAATAGTCTTAAAACTATCTTCATAGAGATGCTGTATTTAAGGCCTGTGGAGGTTTGAAGACATTAACATTGTTGAGAAAGAGTCCTTCTATTTCTCCTTGCACTCTCCCTCCTTTTCCCCCTTAGGATTAAATAGTCACATTTGAATTCACAGTAACTTGTTGGAAGAGAATATAGAAATTATCGTATATTACATTTCCTCTTTTTAAGTTGGGTATTTCATCCTCTTGTTTATTTCTGAAGTTTATTTGTAGGGTTTTCCTGTGGTACAGTTTATAAAGCTTATAAATAAATTTCTATTTAGGAGCCAGTGTTAGTAGATTTTCTACAGTAGCATTTATTGAACATCTGTTATATAAAAAGTTCTTTGGGGTGCTAAAATAAACAATAATAAAGTCTTCACCCCATCTCTCAGGAGTACTAGTTAGGAAATAGCCATGTAAACAGTTAATGTGTGCAATGCCGAGATAAATGTTATAAAACCAAGTGGAAGCTTTAGATGAAAGAACAAGCAGGAGAGATTTGAGATAAATTTTAAAGGATAACAACAGTTGCAGTGTGTGGAAACTGGCATTTTGGTTAGAGAATCCTATCAGCAAACATGCAGACTCAGTATGGAGCAGCATACAGTTGAGAAATGTGGAACATTTCAAACTGGCCTGGCTGGTGTGTCCATGGAGAGAGAGCATGGAAAATGACTTGTTTTTGAGTTGTAACTGACAAAATTAACTTTCATGAATACTTTTGCTATGGTAAATAATCCATTTAGACTGCATTCATGTGGAAGTTTCTATAAAATAAGGATGTAAATGCCTTGGTTAATGACTACTGAAATGGGTGTTTTGAAATCCAACCATTGTATTGATACCATGAGTGTTTTTAATTTTCACTCCCTGGAATGGAGTGCATTTTGCAGTGCTGTGTTTCTGCTGGGCAGCGAAGTGAATCAGCTCTGCTATACATGTGTCAGCCCGCTTTTGGCCTTCCTTCTCATTTAGGTCGCCACGGAGCGCCGAGTAGAGTTCCCTGTGCTGTACAGTAGGTTCTCATTAGTTGTCTGTTTTATACGTCATAGCATATATATGGCAGCTCCAATTTCCTATCCATCCTACGCCCTTGCAATCATGATTATGCTAATGTACGTTTCTGAACACCGCTTTTAGGAGCACTGAAGCCTGGAAGTGGCCCCGAGGGTTTGCCGGGTCAGGGGCCCGCTCAGCAGCCTCCGCAGCAGCACCGAGTGCTCCAGCAGCTCCAGCAGGGGGACTGGAGGCTGCAGCAGCTGCAGCTGCAGCGTCGCCATCCTCAGCAGCAGCAGCTCCAGGAGGCTTACCTGCAGCAGGTGATTCTGCCCCTTGAGATACAGAAGCATCTGTGTCTGTTGTGTATTTAGCCTCTATAGCTGTGAAATTCATGCCAGTTGTAAATAACAGTGAATTCCCCTTTGTCTCATGGGACGTTGAGCTGTGGACTGAAGTAAACAGCTTGCTCAGTTTCCTGCTTGTTAAAGAAAAGGCGTTTTATGTGCCTTCTGTGAGATGCTTAAGGATGCTCTGTGGAAATGGGCTGCGTTATGGCTTTATGAAGCAAAGAATGTTCACCCAGTCATTTGGCACCACAAATAAGTACTGCAGTTTATGATGAGTAGTATCTTTGAGTTGCATTTTGAGTTCATATATATATAGACTAATAATGTTGCTGAAAAGGTGATATTCAGTTTTCAGAGGTAGCATTGTATTGGGTTCTTGTTCTTATTTTGATATTTTCCTTTTTTTGCCTCTGTTGGGTTATATGTTTGTTATGTATGTGTGTAGGTGTATGGGGGTGGACATTTAGAAGGGACATAGAAAAAAATGACCTTAACTTCTATTCTGTCCTTTGCCTCATCAGAACCTGCAGATTTCTAGTGTCACTAAACCATTTTAAATTTAATGGCTGTCGTTATCATCCTTCCATCATTTTCTGAAATATTTTTGAGCCAGTTATATGCATGACACTTCTTATGGGTGTACTGGTGCCCTGCTCTTGACTGGATAGACCCAGAGTGAAGAGGAGTTAAATAGGGGTGCCGTTGGATGGCCAGAAGATATGATTGAAGGGGAGACAGAGGAGAGTGGGAATTTACTGTTGTAATTCCTGCAGACAAATCACTTCAGGGGTTTGCATCAATGAGTAAATGGCTTTAGGTTTCTTCCAGACATCCTTAAACTGTGCTGCAAATTGCTTTTAGTTGCATCTATTATGTTGCATTGATAATTTTGAAACTAATTCCAATAAGCAGATGTAAGTTACAGTCACTTACTGATTATAGGTATTTCCCATTAGTGTTTGACTATTGAGTACCCAGGTCATGGTTACGGTAGGATCAATACTTCACAATACAAGGCTATGGAACAAAAATGGCAGGAGTAATATTATTGAATTTGTTTTTCTAACTGTAGTATCAGCATGCAGTGCAGCAGCAGCAGATGCTTCAGCAGCAGTTGTTAATGCATTCAGTGTATCAGCCACAGCCTTCTGTATCACAGTATCCTGCAATGGTAAGTGGTGCATAACTTTTAGAGGTTGCTTTTGGAGTATACACTGCAGTGTTGGAATTCACAATGTGTGAATAGTATTTTATAGAATTTAATAATTCAGAAGTAACTCAAGTTAATTAATGAACATATATTTTATCAAAGCCAGTTATATATGCTCAAGCAGTTTTACATTGGGTTGAACCTGGATTTGGCAGATCATAATTGACTGATAGTATTTTTCTCTTATCTCCTCGTATAAGGAGATGACTGCTTACCTGGGCTATCTTGTCATATGTTTCATTCATTTGACAAATGTCTATTGAATAAAAAAAAAGTAAGGAAGGAAGCCCAGAGGAAAATTGCATTTGCTTCAGAGAATAGTTTTGACCTTTTTTTATAGCAACTACCATACCAAGTGACTGTAAACTACTGTATTGTTTTTTTCTTAAATTATTTAAAGGAGAATTTTTGAATCCTGCTAGGTGAGCCTAACTTTCCAGTTTCTTAAAAATTGAGGTATAATTGACATAAGATTATGTTAGTTTCAGGTAGATAATGTAATAATTTGTTGTGTGTCTATATTACAAAATGATTGCTACAATAAGTTCAGTTAAACAACTTCTTAAATAGATTTATTTCACCTTGTTGTAGTGTTCTGTAGAAGCTGCTCCTTCAGATAAAAGTTGTTTTTCCAGTGTCTGATTTGTTGCCAGTGTGAAAAGGAAGGAGTGAAGTAACAGGTGCAGTGAAGTAAATAGGCGCACTGCTGACAGCGCTTCGTGTCCGTGAGCATTGTGTTGTGTGACGGCATGCTTTGTTTCAGATGCAGCAGTATCAGCAGGCTTTCTTGCAGCAGCAGATGCTCACTCAGCATCAGCAGTCTCAACCACAGGCGTCACCAGAGTATCTCACCTCCCCTCAAGAGTTCTCCCCAGCCTTAGTGCCCTACTCATCATCACTTCCAGCTCAGGTTGGACCCATGATGGACTCCTCTTATAGTGCCAGTAGGCAAGTATTTTTGCACTGAATACAACGGAAATCATTGTGGGAGTGGGTGTTATCATGGAGTGGAGTCATTTCATCAGTTGAAGTGGCTCCTGAATTTGGAGCCCATCTTTTTGTCGATTTCCGCCTTTTCTCTTACTAGTCCTCTCTTCTGGTCCCTGTGTGTGCCCATCCTTCTTTCCGTTTTCATCAGTTAATTCTGCTAACTGCTGTCTTAGCAGTTGGTAAGGCTTAGCAGCATCCAGCAGCGTTTAAGGCTAAGGAAAGGAAAAGGAAAATTATTGTCAAAAGGAAAGCTATTGTGGTTGTCTTAGCATAATCAGGACATAAAATCACTTTATTCAGTAGTGATTTTAGAGTGGTACTGTTTGTTATGGCAACTGATTTTCACTTTAAGGTTTATTCACTGTGATGATAATAGTTAATATTTATTGAAGGCTTATTTATTTATGTTCTTTGCTTTACCTGTATTAAATCATTTAATCTTCTCAGTAACCCTGTGAGGTAGATACTGCTTCTCCTGTTTCACAGATGAGGAAGTTGAGACCTACAGAGGTCAAGGAACTTGCCCAAGGGGGAACAGCTAGTGACCTTTCTGATTCAGATCCCATGTGGTCCCTCTCCCAATGCATGTCCTTATCTACCACCTCCATCATAATAAAATGATCTGCTTTATCAAGTATTTATAAAGTATGAACCAGGCCACTTTAAAATTTTCAGTTATAATTTTTTTTCCTCTTATAATTTTTACTCTAGGTCAATAGCTGGTAAAGAGGCAGTTGCAAATATGACACATCAGAAGAACATCAGTAACCCACCTGATATGTCAGGGTGGAATCCTTTTGGAGAGGACAATTTCTCCAAGTTAACAGAAGAGGAACTGTTGGACAGAGAATTTGACCTTCTCAGATCAAGTAAGGGACACTTGAAGGCTTATTTTGCTTCACAGTAAAATAACAGCTCTATAATTATACAGCAAGGCCAAAGACTGTTTTGGAATGGTAAAGAGAAAATTCTTTTTGAGCATTTGAGGGCAAAATTCAGGCCATCTTCTTTTACATATACTATCATACTATCTTGTGTGCATTAGAAATCAGTTGCTTGATAGTAGCTATTAAACTTAAGATTACTGATATTATGTTGATTCCTAACACTTAAATACTGCATATCTTTGAATGTTAATTCAGAAACCTCCAAAAAATGGAAAGTTAATGTTCAAATAAAAAGGGAGACATTAGTATCTTGCCTTACTAATCATTTTGCAGCTCTGTTTTCTTGCACACTCGTTAGAAGATTTTGTGGGTCTGAGATGCCCTTTGAAAGTGCCTGAAAGAAAACATGGGCTACTACATTATGTTAATGTTTTGTAATGCCCTTTGAATGAGTGGTGACATAAAAGGGCTGCTTTGTTATCCTGGTATGGCAAAGTGAAATAAATTATTTTCCATCTTAAATCAGATATCTCTATGTTTTTACTTGCAGTCATTGCCTTTTATTAAACTACCTAATACATATGTCAAGCCTCACCATACATATTTTAGAAATTACTTTTTGGAAAAGAGATGGGTGGAGTGTTTTGAGGAGCTTGCAAAACAGTAGCAAAAACTAATTCCTGAAATCTTAAGATAATTATCAGTTTTCTGAGTCTTGGGTGTGTGTGTGAGCATGAGTGCATGTGCCAAGTGTTTTTCCCCATTTTGCATGTGAAAAGGTCATTAGTTACAGTTCCTAGTTTCTATTTTGTTTTTAGGTAACTGGCCTTATGAGAACATTTATTAGGTGAAGTACTTTGTTTCAGATTGATATATATTTTATGTTAAAGTTTATAAATGCCCTGAATTCATGTAAGAATAGTTGTTTGGAATTTAAATTTGTATTTTACTTTTTGGTTATATGATCATGAAAAATTAAATTGATTAAATACAGATATAAAAATGAGTTCTGAGCCTTTAATAAAGGTTTTTTAACTTTGGCAAAACCAATCTTACATTTTTTTTCATTAAAAAAATTATTTTTAAATCACAATATTTTTTGTTTGGCATTTTTCCTACAATTTATGTTGAGTGGTCCAAAAAGCAAGGTTTTTAAAAAAGAAAAGTATGTCTTTCCTTTAGGGAGATGGTAGGGAGATATAGGGGGTAACCAATCATTATAATTTATAGGATTATTTTTAAAGCAAAAGATAAAATATTCATTTTAATGTATTCTGACCAGGATAGTAATTAAGGTTTGCTAAATCAGTATTTTCTACTCTTTGGGTGAAAACTCCTCTTCACACTGTTTTAAAAAATAAATCAGTTTATGGAATGGGTAAAGTATTCACATTATTCTGTACCTTATAAAAATGTTATTCTAAGCTCTCTGGAATTTATGATGACACCAAGTGTTAGTTACTTTGCATAGGCAGGAATGGCATACAGACATTCATGTATACTTCATAAAAATTGGATTTAGTTTGTAAAACGCTTAAACAGCTATTTGCTTTCAAACTTTAAGGTCTACTCACATGTGTAATTTGTGTATGTATTTGTATACACATGTGTATGCCAAAGAGAGTCAGAGTTCACTGCAGTATTAGTTAGGAAAAGATACTAGGTTCCAAATGAAAGTGCAAGAAGAACTTTATCTAAAGGTCAGACTTGGAAACAACTCAGCCATTTGGAAAACTGCCTAGATAGTCCCTGAGCTGTTGAACTCATTGTCACAAGGATGATTTACTTAAATTAGCACATAGCAGCAGAAAGCATCAATTCTGATAACCTGGCCATGCCATTTAACTAGATTTAACTCTGTGAAGTCACTTAACTGCTGTTCACTTGCTCATTTATAATCTGGTTATAATGATGCTTATCTCATAGGGTTGTCAAGAAGGTTCAATAATGTCTTTCAAGAGTCCTGGCACTCCATAAATGCCACTTCCACTTTTCTTACCTTCTGTGTACGTCTTTGGGGTCTTATTACCGAGGTTATTTTTCTATAACAGTCATTTTAAAATCATACCTAAACTGTCGGGTTTCTCAGCTGGCAATTAAAAGACAGATGGAAGGGGTTTTGTGGGCAACATGTCAGCAGCAGAAGTGATTTATGACGGCAGGGAGAGTGATTGAATTCTTAGGCAAGAACACTGGAGTGGGTTGCCGTTCCCTTCTCCAGGGAGTCTTCCCAGCCCAGGGATCTAACCCAGGTCTTCTGCATTGCAGATTCTTTACCAACTGAGCCACCAGGGAAGCTTTAATAAATAATTGATAGTCACAGTAATGGGGTTCAAAAAAAGTGAAATGTCCTTAATAAAGTTTATAAAGAAATCAGTAATGTATAGAATATAGTTTTGAAAGATTTCCTCCCAGATTTGACTTAATTGTAAAGCTGAGTCATTGTTAGCACACCTTTCACTCACAAGCAATAAGGTATCTAATATATGATCTACTTGATAAGATTTAAATTACACAGATGGATCTCTTCTAGAACCTTGAGTTTCAATACACTAATGGTGTAGTGAAAATTGATTGTTGGTCATTATTGCAAGTCAGTTCCTCTGTCTCGATCAACATTTTCCAAAATGAAGAAATAAATTACCAATGAATTTGAAATACCAAATTTATCTTTTTTATCAGCACAGATATTTATTAACAATTTTTCAAAGTCTTTTAAGATTTTTTGTATTTGGCTTATGAAAGCTTTCCAGTGAGAATCTGTATACTTTATGTTTGGACCTTAAAAATACTGGCATTGTCCATATAATGATTGTTCAGAATAAAACATTGCCATTTGAAGTTTTATTTTTAAAATAGTATGTGATTATTTATTTTTAAAAAAAGAAAAAAAAGATGTACTGTCTAGGAAATACTCTACTTGTGTATATTTTGCAGGCAGTAATTCTAAAATTTTGAGGTATTAAAATTCTAAGATATTAGTAATTGGTAATTAAAAAACCCATTTTTTAATCATTTTTAAGAAAACAGTGGAATCCAGCTTGCCAAGGGAGTTAACATATAAAATATGAGTCAGGTTCTTCTTGCTTTTGCTTTCAGTGTAACAATACTTATGGTTTGGAATTTTTAACCTGTTCCTATTTAAGACCAAAATATTACATTGAAATTAAGCATTATTAATAAAGCTAGTCTCAATATTTTTTTAAAATTTAAACTTGTATTTTTCATGGTCTTTTGTGTCAAAGCATTCAGATTCATATGTTAACTTTAGAAATCTAATTGTCATAATCTTTAATACATTAAGCACTAATTAGAATATGGGTGTTTGCTCTGGGAAAATTTAACTTGCCTTTGAATAGTTGTGTAGCTCTACACATTAATTAAAAGTAATACTTGATATGTTTTCTTGTTTATGGATTTATTGTTTATTTCTGTTTAAAATTGCATCAAAAGGAAATTGCATAAAAGGAAGAGTTGAAGAAATGAAAATCTGTGTCTCCTTTGCATATTCTACTGAATGTGCATTTTTTTTCCTCTGAAGCCACAGTATGAAATAGATATTAGTATGAAGTACTAATATGAAATGCTAGATATTAGTATGAAATAGATATTAACATCAGTATATAAAACATCAACTCTCACCATTTTAACCTGATTCAGACCTATTGCTGTTCTTTTATGGCAGAATAACAGAACTTTTTAGACATATTAGAATGGTGTCAAAGTATCAGATGATGACTCTACTTTTAAATGTTATTCTTTAACTTTTTGGCTGTTCAAGCCATTATCCACCCATATAAGCTGTTGAATTAACTTTTTAGAGTATATTCATTTTCTGATGATATTATGGAATATAATTTCATTCTAAAATTTAAAAATTGTCTATTTTTGCCATCTGTATCTATTAAAATCCTTGAAAAAATACTGTCTTCATTCAGCACAGATATTTTGGGAAGGCAGGAAGAGGTAAGTTTCAAATTAAGCTTAAGTTTTACGCTAATGAAAAGAAAACAATTCAGAAAAAGAAAACAAAAGTTCTTTGAAAATGGAGCTTAAGTACATTTTAGGGGTGACTTGGTATTTGAAAAGTAACTCTACATACCATTTCATTAGTTTTTATTTATATGTAGTTGATAATTTAAAAAATTAATATGTCTATTTTTTTATTTTGTGCCCTGGGATTCAGATTATCATGTGAACTTTAGAAATCTAAATGATTTTAAAAAGTCTTTCTTGGAAAAATTTACCCTGTTTTGTGGAACAATGAGAACATGATTCACTTGAGAGTGAGTTTATTCTGCTTCCTGATTTGAAATAATTGGATACATGAACTTTGTACAGAACAGTATTTTCACATTTTTAATTATGGGGATGCCATATATATAAAAAAAATACTACTCCTACATGGTAGTGTTTGTATTTTTTCATAGTATAAAAAGCATTTGTTACTGATTTCCTGAATTAAGGTTACAATGAATATTCTGAAAAAACATCTAAATTGAATTTTCATTGCTTTCCATTTCTGTATTGGATTTGAAAATAACCTCTTGAGGTTTTGGAAGTTTTATTTGTACATAAATCAATCAGTTGTCAGGTTTGTTGCCTTAAAATATTAGTGTTTCATTCAAAATTTTAAGTAAAAATTTAAATAACCTGAAGTTTCATGTGGATATTAATAGAGTTAGTTGTAGCCATAAAACTAATAATTGTATCATAAAGGTGTTTCAAGGATCAGTTGTCCATAGCAATAATTAAGTATTTTCAAGATACCATAGACTCTAGAGCCTTGCCTTCTCAAACCTGCACTCCCTGGACCAGCAGTATCCTGGCATCTGGGAGCCTGTTGAATTGAGAATCTCAAGATCCGTTGCAGAACCACCCAGTCCGAATCTGCATTTTAACAACTCCCCAAGTGTTTAGAATGCACATTAAATTTGAGAAGCACTGTCCTAAGAGATTGCTGCTTTATCTTGGGGCTTTTTACCTCACTCTGCAGTTATAAGTCTTTTTAGAGAAGTCTAATTCTATCTGGATTTTCTCTCCGCATCCTGCCATTCCTTAGAACTCACATGAAATCAGGATAGTTTACCCGTCTGTGTGTGCGCGCGCATGTGCGCTGACGATTAGTCCTGGCTGACTCTGCAACTTCATGGACTGTAGCCCACCAGGCTCCTCTGTCCATGGAATTTTCCAGACAAGAATACTGGAGTGAATTGCTATTTTCTTCTCCAGGGGATCTTCCCGACCCGGGGATTGAATCCGTGTCTCCTGCATCTCCTGCATTGGCAGGCAGTTTCTTTACTGCTGAGCCACCTGGCCTGGGAAGAAGCCAGTTTACCCATAGAATTCCTAAACATGAAAGGAATAGTCCTGGGAATGCTTAACATGTCTGTAAGAGTAGCATGGGTCTGATTATCAAGAAACAGAGGATAAAGAGACATTTTACAGAAATCCAGAAGTTGTCAACTGATAAAGTGCCTGTGTTGTGCAGAGTTTAGGGGCAGGGAACAGTCATCACCACTAGGCAATCAGGATACACTAGATCTTCAAACATACCAGACCTGCTCCTGCCTTTGAGCCTCTGCTCTGGCACTTTCTTTGCCTGATGTGTTCTTCCCCAGGAATCCACTTCCGCCTCCTGGGAATCTTTTCTCAACAGGCACCTGTTAGCATCACTCTATTTCACTGTGTTTATTACTGCAACCTGTGCCTGCTCCTTTATTTCCTTTTACCTCGCTCTGCATATTTCTCTCTAGCTTTGTTTTTAAGTCTGTATTCCTCATGTTTCTTTCTTGTTAGTCGTTCTTCCATGCCAGCATGTAACCTCCACGAGGGCAGGAATCTTCTTTTTGTTTGCTGTTGTATGCCCATGCTCTAGAACAGTGCCTGGCACATATTAGATGCTCAACTATTTATTGAATGAAAAAAAATGAATTCTGTTAAGGCTTTTAATTTAATAGAGAAATGTCTATATATTTGTATGTATAAGGATGGTTTGACCAAGTAATGTGAGAAATGAACAGTAACACAAAATAAATTAACATCCAGTGAATTACATTTTATTGCTATTGAAAAATATGATTTACCTCTTTATGAATAAATGACTATTTGTATTTTTTCTATGTGTATTTTTAGAGAAAGTTTGCCAAATATGTCTCTGTTTAATAATTGGGGTTTAACTTCAGATCTAATATGTTACAAGTTAAAGATAACTGTTGTTTAAATAATTAGTCAACCTAAGTTATTTGTTAGGTTAATTATATTTAGTGAAATCTAGCACTGTGATTATATTGTTAAACTTGCCTTTGTAGAAACAGATACGTATTTAAACTCAGGACTACCCCTTAATACTTAAACAGATGAACTTTAAATCTCATATTTTTCAAGAAGGCTGTTGCTTTGTTTAATTTTCACTTTTATTTGTACTGTGTGCCACTTTTTTTAAAATTTAAAGATCATTTTGTTTTTGTTTTATTTTTTGTTTTGTTCATCTTATTTTTGCAGACAGGCTCGAGGAAAGAGCATCCTCAGATAAGAATGTAGAGCCACTTTCTGCTCCATATAACCATCCTCCAGAGGATCCTTTTGGTTCTGTTCCTTTCATTTCTCACTCAGGCAAGTTACATATGTGACATCATCACTATCATTAAAACACACACACAACAATAGTAGTAACAGAGGCAAAAACCCTTATTATAAGATCGAAGTAGAAATCAGATGTTAGTTACAGAAAACAGAACAGAAAATTATTTTAGCCTCTAGCTATCCTAGTTTTCCTAATGTTCTTTCCATTGGGTTATTTAATTTGTGCCTCTTGCTGACAGGTAAAAATGCTGATTTGCATAGTAGAATATTAACTGTTTCTTTCTACTTTTACCATTGGATACTGTTTTCAACCGTTGGATACTGTTTTCATGCATGAAAATATCTCCCCCTTTTATATACTTGAAATACTTTTAAAGACATTTTTATACTTAGCTTTTGCTTAAAAATCCTCTTTTCCGAGTTTATACATGCTCTCGTGTAGCTGCATTTTAAAAGTATTAGTAATTTTCTGTTTGTCACAACTTGTAACAAATTACCTATTCTTTTCTTCTTATTCCTTCTTTGATTTCAATCCAGAGTTTAAATATTGTTATTATTCATCATTTAGGAATACTTGTAATAATATTTTCAAAGTAATTGCCTAGTTAACACTGTTGAATATACAAGGATGGAATAGGATCCCACTTTGGCATAAATGGATTTGTGTGTATGGTTATATTATAATGGAAAAACTGAGTTTAATCTTAGAGAAAGGGAGTGCGGTGGAAGAAATCACGCTTTACCAGAAGGTAGAGATTTTGTTTAATATATTCAAGGTAATTGTCTACCATGTTCTTTGGTTCTGTTTTGTTTATTTCTCACTCAGGCAAGTTACATGTGTGACTTCATCACTACCATTTAGAAACATTCATACAGAGAGAGCAATAACAAAAGAAAAACGTGAATGTAAAACCAAAATAAGATATAGGTGTTCAGGATTTCTGATAATGCATCAAGGCAGTGTTACGGCCTTTCGGATTTGGTTATCCAGAACACAACACAGTAACTAAGTGTTTCCTGGAGGGTTTCTTTATCTTAAATTGGGGATGATATTAGATACTTGATGAGATTATTGAAAGGATTAAATGAGAACACGTTTATAGAAAACACTGTTGGTTGCTGTTGTGACTGTTGTTATTGGTAGTGTTATTAAATAGTATTTTTACTACTTACTACTGAATTCCAAAATCTTAAGTGTTCAGTAAGTTTTGTAGCTGCTATCCAACTAGTAGTAGTACGGAGTTCCAGTAATAATAAGCAAATTAACTACTGAATGAAATCTTTTCATGAAGTGTAGACTCAGTTTATGAAGCTGTTCCCCCACCAAGGACAGTTTTAACAGTACTATTTCTATTTTTATTAAAGCATTCACTACCAGTATTCAGTACAGTATACACATATATATATCTGTTAAAAGCATATGGTATTCATTCCTGGTCTTGAAATGCGCCCAGCCTTCCTTCTCCCTGAGACATCGTTGTTAGTTTGTATACTAACATGGGATGTGTGGCTCTGTGAGTTACAGCATGGACTATCTAATTTTAATAAACACCCTCAACTTCTGAAACATACAGAGTTTAAACAATTCTGTAAATGAAATTCTAGATTTCTTGTGTTGGGCATTTCATTTTTTATTAGGTTTGGTGAACTTCCCTTACTCTCCCTAACTGTAACCTACCTCTCGGATCTTGTTATCTAATATGAAGTTAAATTGAATTTAAGGATGGAAAAGGTCACATTGTATATAGCAAATACTTATTAAAAATAAATTATCACAGATTGTCAGTCCAAATGCTGGATCATTGTATAAGCCATGATGAGTTACATCGTTTATACCTTTAGAGTCTAGTGATTCCTTTTTTTTTTTTTTTTAATTTTTTCCTTGAAATTGTTGTTGTTCAGTCACTCATTCGTGTCTGACTTTGTGACCCCATGGACTGCAGCATGCCAGGCTTTCCTATCCATCACCAGCTCCTGGACCTTGCTCAAACTCATGTCCATCTGGTTGGTGATGCCATCCAACCATCTCGTCCTCTGTCGTCCCCTTCTCCTCCTACCTTCAATCTTTTCTCAGCATCAGGGTCTTTTCTAATGACTCAGATCTTTACATCAGGTGGCCAAAATATTGGAGCTTCAGCATCAGTCCTTCCAATGGATATTCAGGACTGATCTCCTTTAGGATGGACTGGTTGGATCTCCTTGTAGTCCAAGGGACTCTCAAGAGTCTGCTCCAACACCACAGCTCAAAAACATCAATTCTTCAATACTCAGCCTTCTTTATGGTCCAACTCTCACATCCATACATGACCACTGGAGAAACCATAGTTTTGATTAGACAGACATTTATTGGCAAAGTAATGTCTCTGCTTTTTAATATGCTGTCTAGGTTTGTCATAGCTTTTATTCCAAGGAGCAAGTGTCTTTTAATTTCATGGCTGATGCTCTTAATTTCTCCACATATGAATATGAGTTATGAAGTTATTCCATAATGAGTAAGTATGAGCAACTTTTAAGAAATCAAGCACAGTCTTTTATTGTGAGCACTTCCTTGGAATGCTCCCTACCTTCAGGTTCTAATTAGAACTTGTAGATTCTACTGATTCTTGAAGATCAAGAATTTTCCTCTTCTAGAATTTCAGCAGTAGTTACTACTGTTGGATCCTACTATATACACACAACAGAAACTGAGGCTCTGAAGTGGGGGCAAGTGACTTGCCTAAGATCAGATAGTTATAATCCAGCTCTGGCTAATGTTAAACTCTGTTCTGTAAAAATAGCAAAATGAAACTGTTGCATGACTTTTTTTTTAACCAGTGTTCAGTATATATTCTGTTCTTTGTGAATCACTTGTAGATGGGATTTTGATGTATTGTGGAAAGAAGTGAACTCCATGTCCTAATTGTCCACCATCTTGATTTCCCAAGTGTCCAGTGTCTTGTTCTAAATAAAAACCTACAGTAAGAGGAGTAACATAATAGAAATGTCAGTTCTATGGCATTTTTAATCTGGCTGGCAAATATTACCCACATCTAGTATGATTCTCTTCTTATACTCAGGCCTTGTTGCTTGGCTCTGTGTTCTGAGAAATTGTACAGATTTTGATAAAACCTTCTAATCTCATAATCCTTGGGTCTGGTGGGGTAGACTGCTGAGAAATGATGGCAGGCAGTATGCTTCCAATTCCCAGTCTCACAGCCCCTCCCTTATACCCTAAATGATGAGACAGCAGAAGGCATGTAATTACAATAGCAGTTTCAAGCCACTCATCCTCTATAATCCGATAGCAAGGAAAAGAACATCAAAATTTTCTTGAAACTGGAAGCTTCTTAAATGATTAAAAATGTACCACCTGCTTTATAAGTAAAAGAAGTATCCTCTCGAAGATGGAAACCTGATTAAAAGAGTGGTAACATGAATGGTAAGATGCAAATATTCCCCTCTCCTCACACTGTTTCGGATGTATTCTAAATATTTTAAGTTTTTAAAATTATTCATATAGTTTATATATAAAACTAAAGATAAAATTTATATAAAGTTTCATTTATGTGGTTTAAGAATACATTTGCAATGTTTATTTAAAATAGTGTGGCATCAGGACTTTCCTAGCAGTTCAGTGGGTTAAAACTTCACATTTCTAATGCAGGGGCTGTGGGTTTGATCCCTGGTTGGGGACCTAAGATCCCACATGTCATGTGGCTCAGTCAAGAAATTAAAAAAACAAAAACTATATATATATATATGTATATATAGTGTGGCATTAACTAGGATTTCATTCTTTATACAAGTATTTGTTTAAAAAATACTAATAAAGTGTATGAAAGTATGAAAATTGAGAAATTTTAGCTTCTGAGTTTGGAATCTTCTTTTGGACACTGAAAGACTATGATGTCTTTGAAATTTTAATATCTAGAAATATCTTTTTATGAAAATTCGAGCTTGGAATAGATGAATTCATGTTCTTAAATTCATTTGGTTAGGTAAGCTTGTTTTTCAGAATCTCCAAATAGCTTTTACCTTGTTCAGTCATTTTCCAGATCACTAGAATCAGATTAGTATGTATTTTTCACAACTGTTGGCTTAGATGGTAAAGAATCTGCCTGCAATGTGGGAGACCTGGGTTCAGTCCCTGGGTTGGGAAGATCCCCTGGAGAAGGAAATGGCAACCCACTCCAGTATTCTTGCCTGGAAAATTCCATGGACAGAAGAGCCTGACAGGCTATGGTCCATGGTGTTGCAAAGAGTCTGATTCAAGTGATCAACTAACACACTTTCACAACTGTTTAAATGAATGATAAGTACCTTGAAGTCAGGAAGTAATCATATCTTTGTATGCTGTATAATACCTGTTGAATGAATTCACTATCAAAGTGTACTTTGGTAATCTAATATAAACTTTCTATCACATACCCTAATATTTAATGAGTTTTCACTAGATAAGATGGATTTTAAAAATGTTTAGCTCTGTCAGGTAAGTTCAATTATTGCCTTTATTTCCTCATTCCGTATATGAGGAAATTGAGACTTTTTTGGATGTCTATCTTCCATGGATTTTGTAAAGTTGTATGTGCTTTCATTTGTTGATAAAGCCTTATAGTATTTCTAGAACTTAACCCTGTGGTGAGTGAAAGTTGCTCATTTGTGTCCGACTCCTTGCGACCCCATGGACAAGATAGTGCACGGAATTCTCCAGGCCAGAATACTGGAGTGGGCAGCCTATCCCGTCTCCAGGGGATCTTTCCAACCCAGGAATCAAACCTGGGTCTCCTGCCTTACAGGTAGATTCTTTACCAGCTGAGCTACCAGGGAAACCCTATATGATTAAGATATTTATCATAGTGTTCAACAAACACTGTTTGCTGAAATAGAAGCAATACCATTCTCATTCCATTAGTTTTTTGTTTCTTTTTAAAAAAATTTTCAGACATAGGTTTGTAAAGGCGGATATAAAAGAAACATAAGGCAAGCCTGTGGTTATATTTTGTAAGGGGTCAGTTCTAAGCTGTACTGAATGTTTGCTGGTGTTGATATTC